GAACAGTCGTAACCATCGGACCCATGGCACATCGGGCGTGCCGGGGGTGGCCAGAAAAGGAGGAGGTGGCAAAATGCCCGTGGAAGCCATCCTCGTCGCCAGAATGTCGTGTAGCCGGCACGGCGACACGTGAAAGTAACCACGCTACACCACAGTACGATCCATGACAATAACCCAGTTTAATCAGCGAGTATCGTTTATATACACACGAGCGCAGTGGCGCCATCTATTGTGAGTCCAATGACTCAGAAGGCCATCTGGTGTAAACGTACAACACTACAACTTTAAATGAATATTTTGCACAGCGACTACAAGTCATGCGGCAAGTGGGTGCAGAGTAAACATAATTCAAGGTTTGAAGCACTCCCACTGGCACCATGACAATACACAACTAAGCAGTTGTCGGCGGGATGCAGTCAACATGTGTCACGAATGTTCTCTCCCTCGCCATATACCAAAATTCATCAACTCCATTTCATAAACGCCCACTAGTGACATAACAAGCACTGGTAGCCATACGCAATGTATGCACTATTAATTGCTCAGAATTGTAGACAAGAGATTTTGTATTTCACCCTATCAAATACAACCATGTCAGTCTCAAATTGAACCATTAAACTTCTGCTCAGCAGCAGAAGTCAAGGTGTTACCCCAACAGGTTGACAAAACAAGCCACAAAATGACTTGTCAGTGATTACGAAATAAAAAGGGCACAATGTAAATTGACACCATTATGCTTAACTTCATGATGCTGTCAACTATACAAGTTTATTATTAAAAGGATAAGTACTTCCATACATACTTGTGTAATGAACACACATTTTTTCCCAAAAAATCAAAGCAAAGTTGGGGGTGTGTTGTTATGCAAGGCAAATTTAACGAAAACTTTTTCGGGATGAGCAAAAAATGCATTTAAGCAAAAAAAAAAAATAAAAGCTAGGTAGCTTAAAATTTGGCAAGTGTTTGGAAACGCACACAGTGTTTGGAAACAGCTTTTTTGTAGCATTTCATTCATCTTCAGTGATTGATGGCGCTATCTTCAGCAAGCTGTCCCGCACCACCCGCGCACTTCATAAAATAGTTTCGCAGCTGTATTTTCTCACCATCTGTTGTTTGACCACGATTATAGTGCCTAGAATACCACAACAGCGGTATCTGCTGCAATCTCAAGGGGCACAGAGAAGCATGTGCTAAGATGCACTTGGCAAACTCCATGGCAACTTCACACGACTTTAATGAGATTGCAGCAAGCTACCACTAAAGGATCCAAACAAACCGTCGATAATAAATTTAACAATAAAACATGGCTGCTGCCTCGCTCTCCGCATGAGAAGTGACTGTAGAAAAGATGGCCTATATTTTTCACTTCTTGATGTATGCACGGATAACAAGCATGAAGAGCAAATAGCCACCGAAGCGAGGATCAGGACTTCTATCAATGTTATGGAAATTTAACAATTTTCTGGGTGACAAGCGATTTTTTTAACCTGCAACATACCTGCAACAGATGGCCCTTTGCGACAGCCATAGTGACAGCAAATCCTGTTGCCGTCACTCGCAAATTGCATGCATGTGGTTGGGCCTTAAAGGGGCCCTGAAACACTTTTTCAAGCAACCATGGAATGAACTTACTGGAAGAGCTTATTGCCCCACGAATTCAACACCGCAACAATTTTAAGAATCTGTCCAGTGCAAGTGGAGTTACAAAGGTTTGTCGCATGCTGCAATTGCATTCTCTCTTCTCTCGTCCTGAGGAAAGCGCTGGAAGCTAAGCAGGGAGGGATGGCAAGGCCACACAAAAACGTCACGCGCGCTTCGCGACCTTCAGCACTTTTTTTTTATGCGCAGCTTTTTCAGTGTGATTGCGCGCGCACGCGTGGACAAGTAGCGGCCTCCCGTGGCAGTCTCTGTAACAAGCGAGCATTCCATGTTCAAATCAGCCAATGGCTAATAGATGGGTCGTTGACGTGCGATTTTTGGGCATATAACATGATTTGTCGAGAGAAGAGAAAACAATTGTTAGCTGACTTTGATAATTGATTGTGAATTTCTGGCCGCGTGCTGTGCTATAATATTTGGCTTGCATGTTGTCGGGACCTCTACTACCGATCGGCAGCATTTTCTGACCATGCTCAAAAAGTATTGCAGGGCCCCTTTAAAGCTTGTATTTACAGGAGTTGACACGGGCAGTTTTGTGACCTTTGCTCGCTGTGTGCTCGTCAGCTGCAATGTCTCTACACTTGCACCATTCGTGAACCCTGCTATGGTGCACGGATATTTCTAAAAGACCGGGGACATGCCATGCACGAATAGACAGAAAAACAAAACGACGCGTGGCAGCGGGCAAAGGGGGAGGGGGAGTGAACCGAGGGGCATGGTATAATAAAATAAAAAACGGTAAAGATCTAATGGGCAAGGAGACGCCAGGTTAGCCACGTGTCCGTTCCCGATACCACAGGAGATGAATCTAGGGGGTGTGTTTATGATGCGGGAGAAAAAAAAATCTAAATTTTGACGACTGAAGTTAAGGGTGCATTTATAACACAAGTGCATTCATTACGCCAGTATATACCGTAAGCAATTTTAAACCATTAAACACAATATGCTTCAGCTATGGCACTGTTGCATTGTCGTCCAAAGAAATATGATAAAATATTTTGGACAGTATATATGTAGAAAATATTTTGAATTGTACGTGTTCAGAACACCATGAATGCTAGCTAAACAATAGCAGGATAATTTATAGTTACTATTGTTAGGAAGTGCAGCACTACCATTAAAAAAACCACAAGCAATTCCAGGCGATTGTAAAGCTAACAGAGAAGAGTGAGAGACATTTCGAACGAACACTTTATCAGTGCTATCACGCTCGAAAATAAATGTGAAATGCTTGTTTTTTTCGTTTAAAGGGACACTAAAAAGGAAAGCAATTTTTCACATATTGGTAAAGTACAATTTCACAATTTCGAAAACATCACTCTTACCGCAAGACAAGGCTTTATAAGCGAGAAAATAACCAAAAAGAAAGCCCAGGTGGAGATGCCACCTTGAGATTCCCGCACCAAACACCGTGACATCATAGATTTTGAAGGCATCTACTAGATACTACGTAGCTTCAAATCGATTGATTTCATTTATTTGTGGGGTTTAACGTTCCAAAACCACCATATGATTATGAGAGATGCCGTAGTAGAGGGCTCTGGAAATTAGACCACCTGGGTTTCTTTAATGTGCACCCAAATCTGAGCACACGGGCCTACAACATTTCCGCCTCCATCGGAAATGCAGCCGCCGCAGCCGGGATTCGAACCTGCGACCTGCGGGTCAGCAGCCAAGCACCTTAGCCACTAGAACACCGCGGCGGGGTAGCTTCTAGTCGATAAAAATGCAATACGCTGTCATCTGCATGCGCTGTAGACCTAGTATACAAAGTTTCAAGAAATTTAATCAAGCCAATATCGCAAACATATTGAAAATTTCGATGTCACGTGCAGACATTTAAGCAAAAAATTTTAAAATGTAGCTTCAACCTTGATTTTCTTTACTAATAATGAATAACGAACTTACGATAGGGAACCTTATGGCATTCGAGTTTTCAGACAGCAGTTTATCAATCTAAACCAAGTCATTGTTTCTCTTTAGTGTCCCTTTAAACATTTTTTGTCTTAATGACAAAGTACACATATTTATGTATATTTTTACAATGTCAAATGCCTCCTTCAATGGTATTAACACAGTAAGATTACAAAATTAAATGCTGGCATAAAAAATATTACTTATTTCATTTTGTTACTATGACTTATCTATAGCCATTTATGTAAAGTTATGCACTCCAACTGCAACTTTGCAAAACATGTTCTGGCTTGTTGGACAGCACTCGTGAGCTGCACAGGAGCTTCACGTTCAAAACATTATGAGCAACAATGAATTAGTTTAAGCCAATAAGTAATTCCTTGAAAACTATAGTATTTAATTTCATAACAATTAGTTTCGTAAGAGTAAAAAAAATGAATTTGAAAGGATTTTTTATGCAATCAAAATTTCCGTTCAAGTACCTCAGAATGACATAATGAATGGCAAACTATTTTTTCCTTGTTTTTGCTACGTTGCCCCAATTAAAGTTCCAGAAATATGCCTTGTTAAATTTTTGGCTCCTATGAAATACGAAAAACCTAACTCACTTTTACTGACACAAAATTACACAGGCTTTAGCAGACACAATACAAATCTATGACATTGTGGCAAGCTTCTTGGAATCACCTCCTCTGATATGTCGTCAAGGTTAGTGCTAATTTTAAGCTCAAGGCTGCCATAACTGACATGTTGTCACAAGGTTATTATATTTTAGCACTACAATACCTTTCCTTTTTGCATGACCTTTTGTTTTCCTTTAGCAAACATGCGAATATCTTTACATGATGATGCAATGATGCATTCTTTTGTTCATAAGCATGTACGAGTGCTTTGAGCATTATTTCATTCGCACAGTTTCCTTTCTGTAAAAGATCCCTTTATGCTTTGCATTTCCAATCAACAGTTTGTCTTTTCAATGTGTGCTGTTATTTGTTGGTTTCCTTTATTTTACTATGTAACCCCCCTCCCCCCCACAATTTATTGCTTTTTCTTAACCATGTTGTATAACAAATGTAATCCAGTCCCCTCTGTAATGCTCCAAGCTCCTTAAGGTAAATAAATAAATGATTAAATAAATAAATAAATAAATAAATAAATAAATAAATAAATAAATAAATAAATAAATAAATAAATATTACAGGAACTTTGAGATGGCTGTCGATCACTGTTGCACTTTTCTGGCTTAAAGTGAGAACACTTTGCTTACCAAGTCTTCATTGGCACTGTTGGTATAGTAGAAGTGTCACTTTAAATTTACTAGTCTTACAAATTGAAGCCTAATTTTTTATAGAGTTCTTTTTTAAGTAGGATGCCACTGGTTTCATTCCATGCATGAATTTCATTTGCCTAATAACACAGAATCTCACTTGGGAAGATGGCAGAACACTGTCGTTCCATCCTGTTGTGTGGAAATGTTCAACCCAGATGCCTGAATGGCCTGTATAGTTGGCTTGATGGCCTGTTGAAAGGTATGATAGTTACATCATATATTTGTTTCCGATAAAGATACTAAATCTCTGCCAGAAATAAAAAAAATGCTAATGAAGGTCTTTATATGCACTAGGCACACAGCAATAGGAATGCCAAAAAAAAAAGGACAATAGTATAAAGAAATATTGAATTCCAAGCAACGGTCTTGCAAAATAATCCTGTAAGAATTCAGCTAAGCTCTTCATTCAAGTCTGCTTCATCAGAAATTTAAGTTCACCAGTACTGACAACACATACCTATGTATCAAAAAGCTGCCAAAAAAAGTGACAGCGTTTCGATAATAATAACTGCCATGATGACCTGCATATAAAATATAAAATACTCATTAATAGAGCCATAGACATGCAAGAGGTCTCAGATCAGGAGAGGCACCATAAATGAGGTCATCAGCCTGACTACACCTACTGCAGGACAAAGGCCTCTCTCCCATGGCCTACCAATCAACCCAGTCCTGCGCTTTCTGCTGCCACCTAATTTTCTGTCTCCTCCACGTGCACTTGCCTTCTCTTGGAGTCCAGTCAGTTACCCTCAGTGACCAGCGGTTACCCTGCCCATACACTATGTGGCTGGCCGTTGTCTATTTCCTCTCGATTTCAACTGTGATGTACTTAACCTCCATTTGCTTCCTGACTCACTCTGCTCTCTTCCCGACTTTTAAGGTTACACCGATCCTTTTCCTTTCCATCACTCGCTCGCTGCGTCGTCCTCAACTTAAGCTGAAACCTTTTTATAAGACTCCAGGTTTCTGCTCCGTAGGGTAAGTACCGGTAAGATGCAGCTGTTATATACGTTTCTCTTGAGGGATAGTGGTAGACTAACATTCATGATTTCAGAATGCTTGCCAAATGTGATCCACCCAATCCTTATTATTCTAGTTTTTTCACTCTCATGGTTCGACCCCGCAGATACTCGTGTCCTAAAAAGACATATTCTTTTACAACTTCTAGCGTCTCTACACCTATCGCAAAGTGCCATTTTCTGCCGAGACTATTGCACATTACTTTAGTTTTGTGCATAATTATTTTCAGACCTACTCTTCTACTTTCTATGTTCAATTCAGTAATCATGAGATGTAATTTGTCCCCTGAGTTACTGATCAATGCAATGTTATCAGAAAATTGCATGTTACTGAGATATTGTCCGTTAATCTAGAGCCTTGAAGACCTCCTGTAAACACGTGGGGAATAGCATTGGACAGATCGTGTCTTCCTGTCTTACACCCTTTTTTATTGAGATTATGTTGATTGATTGATTTGTGGGGTTTAACGTCCCAAAACCACCATTTGATTATGAGAGACGCCGTAGTGGAGGGCTCCGGAAATTTCGACCACCTGGGGTTCTTTAACGTGCACCCAAATCTGAGTACACGGGCCTACAACATTTCCGCCTCCATCGGAAATGCAGCCGCCGCAGCCGGGAATCGAACCCGCGACCTGCGGGTCAGCAGCCGAGTACCTTAGCCACTAGACCACCGCGGTGGGGCGAGAGATTATGTCGCTTTCTTTATTGAGGACTATGGTGGCTCTGGATCAGCTGTAAATTTCTTCCAGTATGTTTATATAAGCTTCGTCGATGCCCAGATTCTGTAGTGCCTGCAAGACTGCTGATATCTCGACCGAATCAAATGCCTTCTCGCAATGTTTGAAGGCTATGTATAGGGAGTTGTACCCCCATCATTTTGTACCTCATATTTTAAAACTTAGTTATGATACTAGCTACCCTCTCACTAATGCTATAGTAAAGTCAACAATAGGCATGCTCAAATATTCGTCCACTCAAATATTCATACGACTATTACAGTATTCAAATTCACTTTGACACGAATTTATTCAAAGTTTTGAAGTAATCGAATATGAATGAATAAACAAATATGAACCGCATGAAACCCCCTGTAATATGGTTTCACTGCAATGAAAAGGTGCTATACCAAGAATACCTTATCCAGGAGAGATCTGCACTGCTACAAAGCTCCACTTCAGGGTGAAATCATTAAATTACCCTCATATCAATTATTCATTTTTAATTTTTAAGTTTAAAAGCTTGTCATACTGGCTGATATGCTCTTAGGATAGTAAACTTAAAAACGCAATGTGTTTTACATGTTTATCACTTGCATTCTACCGAAAGTAAAAATCCTGCTCCTATTAAAAGTTGCTTTCATTTTCCTCTGAACCAAAAAGAATGACATTAATGATATTGTGCAGGTTAGTTGGGTCATGATAAATATTCTCATTTTTCTGCAGTATATCCTATTAAAATGTGATTCAAAATTATTCAACCAAACCACTATTCGCACATGCCTAGTCAGCAAACATATTCGCAGGTGATCACAAAGCTCCAAGTATTCCTAGGAACAAAAGTTGGAATAATGTAATGATTACAATAGAATTCTGCGATATTTCCTCGCTTCACCAGTGGTGTGAGGATTGATGTCTTTGTTATCCCAAGAAGGGCCAGTCATGAACAGCAAATTAAAAGAGAATAATCAGAGAAAAAGTGATCAACTGCATTGTTCTGGTCAAAGCCACAGCAAGAAGGCGACATGGCGGTGCCAGGCTAGCACGTAAAGAGGCCCTGCTGCTCTTTTCAAAGCAAAGCTTCCAATGACTTCATTAAAATGGCTTATTGTCTCATGAATTGGTGGCTGCATAAATTTTCAAAATCTGTCAAGTATGAGCAGAGTTGCAAGAATTTGCCGCATGCTTTAAGCGTTTTCTCTGTCTTTTAGTACTAGCAAGCGTGCTGAAAGCTATGCAAGGAGGGGGACGACAAGTGGTCATGAGGATGCGTCCCTTCGTCAGCACGCATTACGACGTTGAGCACATTGATGATATATTGTGAATTCCGGACTGCTCTGCAATGTTTGGCTTGACTGTTCTCAGCAGCCTCGACTACCAATCGGCAGTGTTTTCTGACCATGCTGAAAAAGTGTTGCAGTGCCCCTAAAAACTTTCTTTTTTCATATTAAGACTTTCTTCGTTCATATGCATGTCCGAGTAAAATGCAGATGAGCTTCAATGGCATGACTTACCAAACAGCTTCCTGAAATTTATCAAATGGTCACATTCAGAGGTCGATTCGTTCACTGAGATTATGTTCTTAATGGCGCATTCGGTTGGGCGTTTTCGAGCACTCTAGAGCGCTTTGAAAAGTGACTGAACTTTCGGTTGGTAGAATTCGAGTGCTCGGACTACCTTCGATTGGTTATTTCAGAGCGTCAGCCTCTGACTCGGAGCGCTCCCGACCACTTTGACTTTGAAGTGAGAGTGTGGGTCAATCCGACCGGGAAGACGGATCACGTGACACAAGCTGGCCAATGATGTGGCTGCCGGCAGGTGAACCAGGTGAGGAGTGCGAGCGTGCATTTCAGAGGGGGCATCGCCGAGCACGTAATACTTCATGCACGTGCGTTGTTATTGGCATTTTTGAGCATGTGTGGGGCAAATTCACATCTATGAAGCCATATATGCACCATGTCAATAACGAGATGGCTAGCGAAGGGGAAGAAAACTTCAATGCTGTCGCTACAGCAGCTCGCAGACAGCCTCTTGATTTGCCTTGAAGATAGTAGCAGCTCGCACGAAGACGATCGCCAGATTTATGTGCTGAGCTCAGAAGGCTTTCGCTACATCCAGACATGTCAGAGATAGAGAATATAAGAATGGTCGGACAAATCAGAGATATCTACTGAACTGATTGGCACCATTTGTTGACAAGGCGCAGCACTGTTTGCCCGACAGCTTCCCGTGCTGGCTGCAAGGTAGCGCTACAGGCGCGCAGCTCTGGGCGCTCTGAGATCGCCGATGTATTTGGTTGGTACGCTGTCTCACGCGCTCCGATTTCAAGCTGCCTCTGCATCTGGCGACTCTGAGCCAGGGGACCAGAGCTGCCAACCGAATACGCCATAAATTAAAATAGAGAAATGGTACAGAAACTTTAAACATAGCAGAATTCTGAACTGAAAGCAGTGCTGGATGCAAATACTACTTCGAATAAATTTGCACCAAAAACTTACATCAGGGAAGCTGGCCATATGCAGCACGATAAGCTGGGGATTTTTCTTGGCTATTTGGGCTACCTCTGCCAAACTGTATTCCTGTCCATCAACATGCACCGGTATCGTGTCAATGCTTCCTGAAAATTTATAAGAATTAATAGCTGGTCAATTACACACAAACAAAAATGGCAAAGGTTCTATAGAAGTTCGCTATAAAAAATTGGCAATAGCATGCATACACAAAGCCTTAGTTACATCAAAGACAGGACTAACTAGGAGAACTAGAAGAAAAAAAGGTTTCTGTATATATAGCTTTCTGTTCATTGCTAATTTGGTGTAAGGTGGAAGGGTAGAAATGCTTTGAACTACTCCCCCTGTGTCTCGCCTGACAGCATGTCAACATGCACTAGATGCTGAAGTGCCACTGTGGCATATAATGACCTTATGATAGTTTTTTAATTGTAAGACACATGCCTGTAATGGTGTCTGTCTTTGCTGTTCAATGCGTAGAGCATGTGCGTGTATCCTTTGTTGGCGCTGTTATCTTGTTAAAAGCGGAGCATCAAAAGTGTCGCATCAATTGTGTTCCTGTCATGTGATGAATAAATGGCTTTCGAACAATGGCATCTTTAGTCTAACATTGGCAACAAAGAAGGGATGATGCAGCACACAAGCTATGCCACCACAAGCTATGCCCACCATTTTCTGGAAGCTGCCAGAGTTTTGCACAGATTAGGGTAGCATCGACATCTACCTATACGTGAAAGCAAATGCAATAGGTGACGAAAAGAAGCTTGAAGTTCTCCTGACCATCATAGGAGAGAAGGCCGATGTGATGCTGTGTACCTTAATGCTGCCAAAACAAAAGTAAAGTACAAGGATGGCAAGAACATGCTACGACAGCACTACGCCCTTAAAAGGTCTGTGGTCACCAAGCGATACCACTTGCACCAGCGGAACCAGGAGTCAAATGAAATCATCGCGCAGTTTCTTGTGAAACTGAAGATGCTCATTGCGACATGCACATTTGGAACTTTCCTGAAAGAAGTGTTATGAGACCGCAACACCAAGCGATGCAGGCTGCTTGCATTGCCCGACAACAAGGTCACCTGGGACCGGGTGTGCAATGTAGTCACCGCCATGGAAGCTGCACAGAAGGACACCCAGGACATGCTGTTTGACAGCAACGCTGAACTACACAGGCAAAGAAGCCAACTGATGCCTACTGCAAGAAGCAAGTAGCTGAAAAAAAACCTATACGTGAAAAATAGCAGCAGCTTGTCATTTGTGTGGTGGACAGCACACTTCTACCAAGGTGCCCATTCTTAAAAAGTGCCCGTTTTAAGTGTTCTAAACTTGGTCATGTGCAAAAACCGAGTTGTGCCTGTTGTAGAGTTAGCAGCAACAGAGCAGGATTTGCTTACTACATATATACCAAACGAACAGAGAAGGCAGTCTGCCTGCCATAGTAGTAAAAGTAATCATGGATGGTCATGAGGCACCGATGGAATTGGACATGAGGAGCTGCTGTTACAATTATGTCTGCAGAAAACTTGCCTGACTTATCATACAACAGTGAGGACGTAAAACTTGGACTGTGCAATGGCACTGCAATCAGTGTAAAAGGTGTTGTGCAAGTCGCTGTCAGGTGTGAGAAGCAAAGCCACCGCCTACCATTTGTCATTGCCAAATACGAAGAAGGTGTGCACATGCTGGTGCTTCTTGGCCGTGACTGGCTCACAAAGCTAAAAGTGAACTTGCCTGATGCTCTGCATAAACTGCAAGAGGCTGTACTTAAGGTACAAGCAGTCGCGCCTATAAAAACTGCAGAAGCTGTAGAAATATTAAAACAACAGCGTGCTGACGTTTCTCAAGCAGAATACCGTGCTATAAAGGGATACAAGGGTACCATTTGCACAAAAGAGAATGCAACTCCAGCTTTCTGTAAAGCCAGGCCTGTACCGTATGCGTTGCAAGAACAAGTAGAAAAAGAACTGGTGGCAATAGAGAAAGCTGGCGTACTAATTTACTGAGTGCGGCACAGCAGCTGGGCAACGCCGCTAGTTATTGTGCCCAAGAAAAATGACCAAGAAATAAAGATAAGTCAGGACTATAGAGTTAGTGTGAAAAAGCACATCGATGTCGGTAACTATCCCTTACCACTTCCAGAGGACATTTTTGCATCCCTGGTGGGACGAACCATGTTCAATGAGTTAGACTTCGCTAAATCTTATTTACAGCTGCAGTTAGTTGAGCATGCCGAAGAATTTTCAACGGTTAACATACACATCGGTTTCCTTAGGTATTGGCGGTTGCTGTATGACGTTGCAAGTACACCAGCCATGTTTCAGACAGTAATGAATCAGGTTTTTTAAGGCATACCTGGCACAGCCTGTTACATTGACAATGTGCCGATTGCAAGAAAAAACTTAATACAGTGCTACAGTCACACGAAGGAAGCGCCAAATGCTCCGTGAACGCATGGAATCAGAGTAAATGTAGCGAAATGCGTTTTCTTTCAAGAGTACAGTGCCTGGAGCTCGAGATAGACCAGACTGGTCTGCATCCCACAGCAGACATAGTGAAAGCGATCCTCGAAGCACTGCAACCTAGCAGTGTGACCCAAATGAGGGCATTTTGGGGCCTAATAAACTTCTATGCAAAATTTATGCCCAATTCAGCTAGACAACTAGAACTGCTGCACCAGATTTTATGCAGAAGAAGCTTATGGCAATGGTAGCATCAGTGCAAAGAGTGCTTCACGAGGTGTAAGCAATTTCTAACTACAGAAGCAGTGTTAAGTTTGTGGGAATCGAGCACGCCGTCCTCCCCTCTCGGTCATTTCGTAGGGTAGGCCTTTTGAAAACTTATCTCCACAAATTGTATGACGTATAAAAAAAAAATCCAGCTCCCATATGTGATGCTTCTGCTTACGGGCTGGGTGCAGTGTTATCACACGTGGTGAATGGCATTGAACATCCAATCGCATTAACTTTTAGATCAATATCACAAGCAGAAAGAAATTATGCATATGTTAAGAAACAAGCACTCGCCATCATTATCAGCATAAAGAACTTTCATAAGTATCTTTACGGCCACAGCGTCGTTATTATCACCGACCATCGACTACTCGTGGTAATATTTGAAGCTAGATATCACAGCAGTGCTGTTGCAGTGGCGCGAGTCCACTGCTGGGCCATTTTTCTGTCAAAGTACCTCTTTTGCATTGTACGCAAATCAAGGGCAAAGATTATCAATGCTGATGGCTTGTTGCGTCTACCATTGTCTTAAAACAGTGATAATGTAGATAAGATTTTTTACTGTTCCCCTGCTCTTGAAGAGACACTAAAGCCAAATAACAATTATGTCAGAGTGAAAGCTCAATGCATGACATCTAAAACGCAATAGTATCAACAGTAGTGTCCTACTTGCCAAGAAATTAAGCTAAATGTATCGCAGAACGTGCGCCACAAGTGAGACATTTTGGAAATGATCCTGATAACGTTACAGTGTCCAACTACAATTAATCACTAGTAATGAAACTAGCTGCAATAAAAAACCTTTCATACATCAAGAAACATAATAGAATGCTGCTTTTCTCTTTCCATTTGATTTGTAAAAAAAAGAACAACCTGGTCTTACTAGAAGAAATGGCATGAGTGATTCAAAAGTTCAGTTTTCGCCTGGCTAGGCTGGATAGGTGGTGTCATCTAGTGGGGCCCAGTTGAATTGAGCAAGTAGAATGTTGTTGAATGGCCCTTGTTCTTGCTGTGGCTCTCACTGCTTTCAAACTGCTGCTACTAGTGTTGGAAGCTGTGCAATAAAGGTGGGCAACATTGGGCACAGCAACAGTAACGGGTGATTTCAAGTGCGTTAATGCGATGCGGACCACTAAAATGTGATTTTATTTCAAAATAAGCACTTACAAGGCACAAACGATGTTTCTGAACTGCTATTTCAACAATAAACATCGACTTAATATTTGCCTTTAGGGTCCCTTTAACAAATGACATCACACATGACACGTCTAACGTAACGACTCTGTCTTGAGTGCTGTGCGTGAAATGACATGGCATGGCTGGCCGCGGTCTGTGGATGTGCAGTATCAACCTTTCTTTGTGAGACGGTTAAAACTTACTGTAGATGAGGCGAGTGGTTATACCCCACGCTCTTCAGAACTACTACTGTTGCTGCTGCATAAACAACACAGAGGCAACAGTAAAATGAAGGCCCTGGCAAGATCAATGATATGATGGCCCAGAATTGATAGCTGCTATGAACAAACTGTAAAACAATGTCACATTGAACAAACATAAAACAATGTCAAAGTGTGAGGCTGGTAGGTCAGCCAGCGCCACTGACCCCATGGAGGTGGTGCACGAACAGTTGGGAGCGAGTGCACCTCGACATTGCAGAAAAAGAAAACAAGATATTTTTAGTTGCAGTAGATTCACACTCCAAGTAGGTAGATGTAAAAATAAAGAATTTAACTACTGTGCAAAGAATAGTTGAAATGGTAAGGTTCCTGTTTGCAAGCTACCGGTTGCCTCATGAGATAGTTACGGACAATGATTCACGGCTTAGGGCAAAACAGTTTGAGGATTTCTTATAGGCAAACAACAGCAAGCGTACTTTCAGTCCACCTTATCATCCTCAATCAAACGGCACAGCATAATGAGCAGTGCAGACTATTAAGCAGTCATTGCTGAAGCAGCTGCTAGCGGATGAATGAAGCCGAAGTTCCAGATCCTTGTAACACAAAGTTGATAACAGGGCGCCTCTGCTCAAACCAAACATGGAAGATGTGATTAATGCCAAGTCCAAGAGGGAAGTGCACCACGCAAATGAGCATAGGGGCATGGTCAGAGCATTTTCTGTTGGCAATCACGTTCTCATGCGTACTGTTCGTGGTGAACTTTGAAGTGGGAGCCTAGAAAGATTGTGAGTGTGAAATCTCCGGTAACGTACCTGGTGTACACTGACAGACAAACATGCTTAATGCATTCCGATCTGTTATGCTGTACTTCTTTGAAACATGCAGAATATTTGGAAGACTGCAGTGATGAAATGTTATTGCCACATGCCAGCGATGCTTTTAAATGGGGCAATTGCTCGGTACAACCAGCAGTGCCATCACCACAGCAGCCGCTCGCCCCTCCTGTACTTAGACATAGCACTCAGGTGATGCGTCCACCAGATCGACTAATGTACGACCAACTATGATTTTGCTTGGGGAGGAGTGTTGTAATGGCGAAAAACATGTCTGTGATAGCTGTGTGCCTTTGCTGTTCAGTGTGTAGAGCGTGCACATGCATTTTTTGTTGGCGCTGTTATTCTGTTACAAGCACAGTGACCAAGTGGTGTCATGTCAGCCGTGTTTCTGTCAAGAGACGAAATAAACAGCTTTCGAACATCGGCATCTTCATTCTAACAGATAGGATTTGCAAGTAGGCATACTGTGTATTTTCGTTACTAGTATATGGTATGGTATGGAGAACTTTATTAAAGTCCTGAGGATCAGTCCAGGACTGATGCTGGCTGCTCCCACGTCGAGACAGGGAGGCCAAGCCCCTCTGCCGCCACACGGACCCTATGGACAGCCCTGAGTAGGTCCGCCAGCGTGTCACTGTGCAGCATTCGCTGCCGCCACTGTTCCCCGTGAGAAGCCGCACCGGCCATTGCCGAGCAGCGCCAGAGCATGTCCTCAAAATCGACCAAACCCCCCCACCTACTACAATAAATCGAAACCCCGCAGTCCGGATTAATTTTATTCATGATGACCTGGTTGGGGTACGTCCACGTCTGCAGAAATCTTAATGTACTAATCGCCTATGGCCTGTTAAGTCTAGAATGTGGCAAGGGGAATTCCTTGCACTCTAAGTAATAATGTTTGGCTATATCATTGTACTAGTACCCTTTGAAATTAATAAAAATGGGAACTTTTACTGATGAAGCTTTGTAGCAATGAAAGACATCGTACCTTGCATTATAGACAATTTATGCATAAATTTTTCCAGTTTTCACTTGACCCACCTCAGCCATCACCCCCATTTAATTTTTTCGCCCACTCCCAAATCCAAGTTGGCCCACACCAATAACATGCATTTTGTATGAAGCACCATAAATTTTGCACAAGAAATACTACGGTCACATATCGACTTCTGAAATGCCCCTAAAAAACGGTGCTATAAGCCAAACATTTTGGTGCTAAAACAAGGCATTTCGGCGCAGCAATTCTTTATATATAAACTATATGGTTTGTCGCAGCAAGTCAGAGAAGAACAGCCGACCAGGCGCAAGCGTCGCAATGCACCAATAACGAACACCGTATTTCGGCCTGAGAGTGGTACCCTCTGCCTTTCAGAACAGCGCTGATCTTTTTCATTACTGTGCATATAAAAAACACCAGGATGTCAAAACTAGCCTTTCAGAGCTTGCTATTCAGACACTTTCAGGAATGATATTGGAGATTGCTGTAAGCATAAGAGGCTTTAGGCAACACTCCCTGTTCCTAATAATGTAGCAGACCATTGCTGATTCAACTTGACACAGTTTAATGTGCTTAATTCAATCGCATTGGTAAGTGCCAGTCAAAGCAATGCATTAGTGTGGGTGTGCATGAGATCACTGGCCTCAAGGTGTTCTGGCACAGGCACTTGCAACATCCAGTCATATTGGCATAGGCTGCAAGAAAAGCACCAAAGACTGTGCTTGACCAGAAATGGCAGCATAACACATGTTACAATTTATAAACCCAATGACAGTACTATCATAACAAAAACAAAAGATTGTATAAGCAGCTTACCTGCAGCAGAGTTTATAGTAAGGTGCTTGATGAAACTTTCCTGCAACCGCTGCACCACCTTTTGCATTTCTGATCGAAAATATTGAATACGGACCACTTCTGAAAGTTCATCATCGGTGAGTGCAATTTTAGGTTTGGCTTCCTTTCCTGGAAAGAAGGCAAGCATATAACTTAATCAACGGCTTTGTTTATAAAGGAATGTGGTTTATCAATTTGTCCAGAAAGGGAGAGTGGGCCAGTTGGTTTAGGTTCCTTTTAAAACATCGCAAAGACAAAAACACACAGAAGAGGACTGAAGAACATGAGTGCTGAATGGCAACTAAGTGCTTTATTCAAACAGAAAAAAAAAAGGAAAGAGCAGAACATGCATGCCCAAACTACACACATGACATAAAGATCACAAGCTTTCAGCATCATTAGATATTCACCAAGTAATTTGCCCCACTATTGAGCAACACAGTAGACTGGATTATTTTCCTTCATGAACAAAATAAGGTCCCCTCTTGTTGCTGCAGTAATCATCTGGCCTTTTAAAGGAGCCACAATGATTAAGATATGTCATACTTCGTACTGAAGGTTCTTCTAAAAAGTTAACTAGCAGTGATTAATGAGCTTAGAATTCCATGGTGGAGTTTGTTCTCATTACAAACACAATAGAAGATAATAGAAAATAAATGGCAAGAGAATATACTATGTTTCCCCCTGAAATGGGCACTATTTTTATGTTTCCCCCTGAAATGGGCACGATTTCAATGATGGAGACATAGCGTGGGCTTTCATACGGTTAATAAATGTATCAGCATGGTTTCATAAGCACATTTTAATGACAAATATAGTCACTTCTTTTCAACCATCATCGGGTATAATATGCAAAACTGTAAGGTGATCCGGCATTCTTAATTTAAAAGATTGAAATAGAACAATACAGACACCATGCTCTAGCGCATTAGGGCCACACATAAATAATATCAACATTGTGATTATCTCTCTAGCAGTGGCATCTGGGACTGAGCACAAAGATACGAGTGTGATTCACAATTGCTGCATCGGCATAGAAGTGACAAAATGCAGAAATTTTCACACAGCATGCACATTGAAAAACGGAATAGTTAGAAATGTTAAGTGCTGGAATAATAAAAGGATGAAGGACACAACACATCGGTTACCTTTAAACAAAAGGCTTGTTTCAATCAAGGCACACCTTTTCATTTAGATGCTGTCTACACACTGCAACAGCATCCCATATGTGCACAGATATGATCTTTGGCTTTTGATGCATTATACCCGCAATTCCAATCACTCATCAAATTGCACACTATAGCACATAAACACTGACAATAGTTTCTAGGACACAAAAAAAAAGACGGACTACTAGCACACTCGGAGCCCAAATTTACAATATGTTCAGCTTCTATTCCCGATCTGGCTAGTTTTTTTCTGCTAGTTGATAAAATAACAGTTTTTTTAAGAAACAGTTAACGACGACACGAGCTACAATGTAACATTAGGAAACTGTCACGTCATTTTCGAACATTATTGCAGAGCTCCCTTAATCTTCCATTGAGGCAATGCCTCGTCTCCTCAACACAGTGCTTGCCACAGGGCTTTGGCCACAGATCATCCTTCCTGAATTTTACAAACTCTGTCCTATGCCATTTCTTGCAAGCACGTGCCTTCCCCCATGTTTGACTGGTGATTTTAAGACTGAGTTAAGCTTTCAAAGAGCCACGAATACTTTCAAGTTGGCCTCTTCAGCTCGCTACTTCAAATTACACGAATTTCTTGCAAGGCACAATAGCCTTCCCTTTTCAATCATGAACAGTGAATAGAATATACAGAGTTGAGCACTGAAGTGATCTTCATAGTTTGACCTTGAGTAACAGACACAATAATTTTTTATTCTAATAGATTCAACACCCAGAAGTACTGCACGAAAATATCCATCCTCTAGTACTTCAGCGCCTTATACCTCAGTGAAACACCCACTCCCCACATGTGAGGCTTGTGGTGTTAAAAATTTGTGAGATGTCAATTTTAAATCCCTCTCTGTGCATGCATTTCTGTGCCACAGAAAAAAATTTATTTCTTCCTGTCCCCTTACAATATCAGCCTAGGAAAAAATTTCTCATCTGTGAAGGGCTCATACACATGCTTCATTCCAGACTGCTGTACAAGTCAATGTGACATCTCACTCATTCAAATATGTTTTATCTGTGGCACATTTCATTATTTAGACATCTTTGGCTAATCACTAAAATTTAATGTCATGTGTTCTCCACGCTAACAGAGCAAAATTGTTTTAAAGTGCTTTCATGTAAGCTCGTAAGCCTTGTTTACATGGAGCTAATGCAATAATAAATAGACACTAAAGAGAAAAACGATTTTTGAAATATCATAAAGTACAGTTTCACTATCCCAAAACGCCACTCTTACGCAGGACAACGCTTGGCAAGCAATAAAACTCCCCAGAAGAAAATGCGGGTGGAGGTGCACCGAATTCCCGCAACAAACACTGTGATGTCATAGATATTGAGGGTGTCTACTAGATCTTATGTAGCTTCTACTCATTAAAAATGAAGTACATTGTCATCTGTAGGTGCCATAGACCTAGCATACGAAGTTTTAGAAAATTTCATTCAGACAATGTCGTGAAAATACAAAAAAATATTTTTTTGAAATTTTTTTTGTCGTGCAGGGAGATTTTGACGCAAAATTTAAACATGAAACTTCAACCTAGATTTTCTCCGCTATAAATAAACCTATGATAGCGAAACTTGTGGCACTAGAATTCTCACAGTGCAGTTTATCAATCTAAACCAAGCCATTATTTCTCGTCAGTGTCCCTTTACTCTGTAGACCTCAATCAACATAAAAAATAAATAAATCTTAGACCAATGATTATGTATACAATGCATACTCAAAAAAAGAGAAACTTTCAGGAATGTACTGTCAGCCACAGAAGAATGCAGGATCTGCAGCGCGTCATGGAGCGATGGGAAACTGCACTGCTGCACACCACCTGCCATCACACAGCAATAGTCGAAGTGATCATCCGTGTCCTTCGTGATTAGCTCCATCAATGTACCAACAACTGTGACCATTTCGATAAGCAAGAGATTATTTCACATATTTTTGAACAGTTGGGTGTATTTATGAAGGACTGTGAAAGCGCTGGGAGCTGCGCGACAAAGGCAAGGTCCATGCTTTCTTGTTTGCTACTTTCCTTCCTTCACATCTCCTTCAGATCCCACTCTCCCCCTTCCAAAAAGGCATTGAGACATGCCCTACCTAAGACCGTTTACACCTGTGCAGTTCGTACTAGTTCTAGGAATAGTAGTGGGAGCTTATTGATTGATATGTGGGGTTTAACGTCCCACAACCACCATATGATTATGAGAGACGCCCTAGTGGGAGGGCTCTGGAAATATCGACCACCTGGGGTTCTTTAACGTGCACCCAAATCTGAGCACACGGGCCTACAGCATTTTCACCTCCATCGGAAATGCAGCCGCCGGAGCCAGAATTCGATCCCACGACCTGCGGGTCAGCAGCCGGCGGCGACCACCACGACAGGGCAGACTAGACCACCTCGGCGGGGCAGTAGTGGGAGCAGAGTGGATTGAGAAATGCAGGCGATGGCTGGCATCATTGGCATGCCCGTTTCAGGAGACTTTAAATGTTGGCTCTTCTAGCCGACGACATGGCTGTTTGTAAAAAAATGCACTAAAGTAATTACTTGATTGATTGATTTGTGGGGTTTAACGTCCCAAAACCACCATTTGATTGTGAGAGACGCCGTAGTGGAGGGCTCCGGAAATTTTGACCACCTGGGGTTCTTTAACGTGCACCTAAATCTGAGCACACGGGCCTACAACATTTCCGCCTCCATCGGAAATGCAGCCGCTGCAGCCGTAAAGTAATTACTTTTCATTCGTTTCTGCGAGAAATAAATGAATGAAATGAAGGTTGCGAATATTGACGGCAAAAAATTTCTTCAGTATCCCTTTAAATAGCTATACAGCACTGAAAGGCGGTGAGAGGAAAATATGGCATGCTGGCACAACAATAACTTTCAGCCTCAAGCCCAGACATGTGGCTCACGAAAAGTCACGGGCGTGGATCGCCTTGAAAGAATAGTTAAATGTCTCAAGTATGTGCAGATCTCTTAAGAGTTGGATCAGTTTAGACAACCCATGAAGAAGAGTTCATGTCAACATTTTCAGATTGCTTTGGTTGCGCTCAAAAAATGGGGGGAGGGGGAGGGATTACATGAGCGCTTATAGGACCAGATGAAAGCATTATAATATGGCATACATGCAAGAAAATTTATGTAAATGTGGGGTATAACAACTGACTACAGTTTTCTCAATATACATGGGCTTCTTAAGTATGCTCAGTGCTGTTTAACACGGCAGGCAGTGAAACACTTTTTGTTGTTGTTGTTGCTGATTCACAGAGAAGGCGAAAAAAGAAGCAGAGTGCAATATACCAGAGTGCTTAGGTCGATTCGCCCCTTTCGCATAACGGCAGCAGCTGACAATAAGCGGTGGCTTTAACGCATTGTGCAGCACGGGCTGGTGGTATATTGGTTGATGCAGCGTTGTCGCAAGGCCACCACATGTTGGCAGAACGTTCCGAAGTCTGCTCATAAGTTGCAGTTGGTACCTCAGTGCCATGCTGCAACAATAAATACAAATAACAATAGATAAGCTAAACCGAAAAACCATACCAATCAGCTTCGTTCTCGACGCACTTGCTTACAACAGTTTTTCTTACTCTTCATACAAGGCATGCAATGATATTGACGCCTTTGAGAGGCGAAGTTTCTGCGGCGTTCGCAAGAATCTATGCTCAACGAAAAACAGTTGCGTGCAACAAACAACGTCTAAGAGAACTATCGTAAACGACCGGCGAGCGGTAAACTAAAATAGCAGTAAGCATTCTCCCAGAGCTAGATCGGCTACCGGAAAAATTTATAACTGTAAAACACAGTGGACACATGCTCCGAAAGAAAGATATTTCCTGAAAGTAAGCATTTACGCACATGTTTACGCACGTGCTCTTACAGGCACATATGATGAGACTTGAACGGCTACCGAAAAACAACAAAGATACCTAAAAAAAATTCTCTTGACATACTAACAGCGGTGAATATACTGATCAATAATAAGAAACTCTACAAAAGCTACTGCGTGCAAGTTTGAGATTTATTTTATAAATTGATGTTACCCCAAAATAGCCGTTACGAACTTGCTTTTTGTTTATTTATTTTTTTGTGCGTGAAGACGACGACGGCACCATCTTACGGCACTTGCGTGACTCGCGAGCTTGCCAGGAGCTCATGAGCTTGCTCTCGCGCAGAACGGGCTGAACGGGTGCAGGTGCATGCGCCCGAGTCCATGGCTAAGTACCTAGTACTCTAAATCGTTAACCACTTTTTCTAAACACAGTCCATGGCTGCAGCCATCGTCGAGACAGCCGAGGTTCTGACGCCTGGAGGTACGATTTATTGGGTAGATGCGGCCTTTCTCTAGCGCTGGGTGGCTAGAGTGACGACTGAGTAGCGGAGCTGCGAGGACTATGCCAGGATTGAGAGCCGAAACTTCGCGAGTAGCGACCTTCACCCCGACGGACGCGATGTTTTGTAAGCGAACTGCGTGATGAGGGATTTCCGTTAACGGTCGGATGTGTTGTAGCTTTTGAGATACCCAGCACAAATGCTTGAACTCGAGGTTGGTCTCTTGGCGTTGCGGTTGTGATGTTTTTTTTTGGCTTCAGCCATCCCGTCTCGTGCCCTGTGCGATGCCGATTTGCCTAGGAAGCGCTCGAGCTATGTGCATACCTCGCGTTGCCGCTAGAACTTACGTTAGGTCGGTTATCGTTGCAAATTAATTTTAAAACGTGTCTTTCTTATCTATTTCGGCAATAACGAACTATTTCAGCTCGTATTGTACCGTTTGCGATGTATTTTTTGCTGTCGGAAGAGTATGTTCAGATACGGCGCGTTGACGCTAGAAGTCTCGTTTGAACTCTAATTACCGTTGTACATCGTGTGGTAAATTTATTTCATTACTTTTGTGCCCTATGCGATGTTCAACCTGTCGGTCAAACAGTCTAGCTGTTGAGGTACTACTGGGTAGTTTCCGCGCAAACGTGACTTCCCGCGCAAACGACAGAAGTCACGTTTGGTCGCTTTTCGTTGGACATCTTCTGTGAATTGTGGCGTTTTCTGCGTTGCGCGTGTAATATAAACCGTATAGTTCTTGTAAGTGATCTTTTTTTGGCATTACTGAGCTATTTCAGCCTGCGTTGCGCGATGTTCGATTCGTTTGCGGCCGGAATTAAGCATTCTAGCTGCCCCTCGTAGACCCGTTAAAACACTTCACGTTGCGTACTTTCAGTTAAACGTGGTTTTATAGACTATGTTGGCAGTAACAAAATATTCCAGCCTTTGTTGTACCCCGTGCGTTTGCTCCGAGAAGCTTTGTAACTCTTCAAACAACTCGCGTTATCCGGATAGATGCCTGTGCTATGTTCACTTAGCGTGGCTAATCTTTTACGAAGTATATATTTCGGCATTAACAAACTAGTTCGTCCTGTGTCGCACCCTGTGCAATATTCAATTTGTTGTCAGTCAGTTGTAGCTACTAATTCGCATGGACGCTAGTAGTCGCATTCGACGCAAATTGGCTTGTAGCGTAGCGTTGAAAACAAACGAGGACAAGATGAGATGGTGCCTGCGTTCGTTTGTTGTCTGATCTTGTTTTCCACGCCATGCTACAAGCCAACTTACGATGAGCCAAATAACCTTGTAACGTTTGATTCTTGTTATTGGTCACTCTCTCTCTTTTTTTTTTTTTTGAATTTGCGAATATTTTGTGTGTTCTAGTTTCTGCTATGTTCAACTAGTTTGTGGTTGGAAACGTTGCAGCTTTTTATGCACCGTGTAAATGCCGAGAGTCAACGTTTGACCACTCCACATTGCACGTCTTTGTAATTGCGGTGTTTTGAACTTACCACATATGATGCAAAATACAGTGGTCTGTTTTGCATTAACAAGCCATTTCAGCCTATGCTTTTCTTGGTGCAATGTTTGATTAGTTTGCTGTCCGAAGCATTTTAATTGTTTCCTCCTGTAGATGCGAGAAATCATGTTCGATCACAGTGCATTCTCTGTATTGAAGTAAACATGGCTTTTTGATTTCTTTTGAGAGGAACTAGCTACAGTGAAAAGCTTTAATTCTAACTCGAAGACTGTTAGAATTAAGTGGATTTCGAATTGGTTGGTGGGCGCTAGATTGAACAGACATTGCACCGCACTGCGCTTGCAGAACCCGGTGAAGCCGGGTTCTGCAAGCGCAGTGCGGTGTAATCGTTCTTGTGAAATTTGCAGCAGGTTATTTAGAAAATTAATTTCACATAGCTCTAATAGCAAACATAGGTAATCAGTCTGTGATACTTTAGAAACAAGTCCCGATATGGATTCATGTGAGCAGTGAGCCCAAATGTCAAAATATATGATGTTATTTATGCTGCAAAACATTTACGTAGTAGAGTTAATGCAATCGAAATTACAACTAATTAGCAGTTTGAATTGGCTTGCGTTTCTTCTGTCGCAACTTCACGAGTGTCATTTACAGTTTGCCCAAGTGCTCCAGTGCAGCGTTACAAGTCTCATCTGCTGAGAAACGTTGCTGTTTCGTTGTATTGCATCTCTAGTAAACTTGCATTGGTTTAATTTTGTAGCACATTATGACCATTGCAGACAGACTTCTGCGAGGAGTGTTGAAAGTCGGGGGACTTTCAGTTCAATATAACCATTGTGGATACCGATGCATTCAAGTTATCGGAAGTTTTCCTCTATAGAAATAAACAAGGCTGTGCTGGGAGGAGGGATTCAGCTTGAATTAATGAGCTTTCATTATATTTGAGTGCTTGGTGCATCTAGTGCAGTGTTTGTTTGCTGTGAGAATCATTGTTTGTTCAGATACTTCACGTAGAATCAAGTAGTTTGGTCCGTCTGCATTGTGCATCTGATATAAAACATAGTCTTTAGGGACCTACTTGGTAACTAATTGTTTCACTGTTGTACCCTGTGCATTGTTTGGTTCATTTGTTATTAAAAGCATTTTGGATGTCAAGATATCCCATTTAGACACTGGAAGTGCTGTTCTTTAACTGTTATGCATTTTGTATGCAACAGCTGTCTAGTCTATTTTCACACTGCTAAAGTATTTGACTGTTTGCTGAACATATTATATCTAGTGCAAAGCTAAAAAACATGAAAAAGGCAGAGGAAAAACAGAGGAACGCGGAATTATCAACGGTTCATTGCGGAGCAAGGCAAAAGTCGATACACAGTTGGTAGTTTGACACTTCTCTGTCTCTTCCCTCTGTTTAATTGGCAGCTTTCGTATTGACATGTTCTCATCACACTTTCATGTCAGAGTTTCATACAATAATACCTAGAGAGGAATCTGGTGCTGCGATCCATGGGAATTATGGGAAGTACAGGCGTCAGATTGGCTAGGGTTAGCTCGTGAACTGTCTACAGACTTTTTTCTTGTTTCAGTTCAGTTATTCGCGCAGTGCAAATAGTGGGGTGTGGTGAAAAGCACTGAAGCAGCGCCATTGTTTTTCAAAGAGGCTTAAGACCACTAGGTCTGTAGTTTTGCTGCGACGAAGCTTTAAGAGTTTTATTTGACAGTTTAAACAAAGCGTTGTCCACTAGCCGCTGTGCGTAAATGTAGTGTCTCATGACAGTGCAGAATATCTCTAGATTTTTTTCACGAGCATGTCTTACCTAAACTCGTTTTAAATTGACTGCAAAACGATGATGAAGTTAAATAGACGCATCATCACGCTTCGCTGACTCAACTTCACAACAAACCAGAAGTGCGTTGGGAGCAGACCACTTGGACAGACGCACCTAGCATCGCAGAAGATCAAACGTTAAGTGTTTCTCACTCAATGTTGTACTGTAATTTACATTAATAGATAATGCGTACTTTCCAGAGAAGAACCAGCATGCTTTAAGTGTAAAAAATAATGAAATCTTGATGCCAAATCTTGTACACAATGGCAGAGCAATGCATACCATGATGGTTAAATTTGCCCAGGTTTCATTCACTTTTGCTGCCTTGACATGAAAACTTTTTGCAATAAAGTTTTAGTACATATAAATGAAGCAAGTTTCAATTAAATATAAGTTCAAATGACTTCGTGTTATACTCTGAAAAAAAGTGTCACGAATCTCAAGAACGTAATCTATCCTAAGCAGATCTGGAGCCTGTATTTCCTACAATTCCCATTTGGGTACAAGCACTGCTGAAGGAGCTCGTGTAGACACTAGTGCCAGATTCCCTTCTATGTATTATTGTATGAAACTCTATGCTTTCATATCAATGCATATACATTGAAAGTTTTCTTGATTTCTAGCCTTGCTGGCAATAAACCTTAGGTAGTGCGGCACTCTTCTTCTGTTTTCATGTTTTTAGCTTTGCGCAGGAATTAATATGTTCGGCATACTCGGGCACCAACTCGCCCAAGAACAAGTTCTTCAGTATTTAAGTCTGTTTTACCCTGTACTGTATTCACACATGCTTTTAACTACAGTTCACTCAACTGTACGATCCGTATACTGTTCGCTCACCAAAGTTTCAAAACGGTATTTACCGGAGCTATAGCCGGATACAACTTGAGATATTCAAAGAGGCTCTGCCCCGACTGCAGAAGCACAACAGCTATTGCCTCCATGACTGAACCGCTCATCCAATCAGCAATGTTCTCCGTAGGCTGGGTCATCGGCTGTCTGGCTCATGATGTCAGTCTGGAGTGTGCGCCTCTTAGTGCAAGCTTATGTGTATCCATCTGCCTTTGAGGAGGAAATACCATAGACTGCTAATCGACTATAGTTGGTTCATAGCTAGTGGATTGCGCAGTGGTAGAGTTTTGGCGCCATTTTTCAATGCCCTTGTGTATCTTCTCTTTGTCCCTCATTTGCAGTTTCACTGCTCAAACCAGTGTTAAACCAAGTTTCTTTTCCATGTTGCGCAGGTTAAGCGAGTGTTGAAAGACGTGGTGTGAATTCTCTACTGCACTTCGAACATGTGGGAGTCGCTGCCTTACTCGTTGCTCCTGCGCGTCCTGTCTCACCTTCCGGCGAAAGACATATGCCGATGTGGCTGCGTATGTGTATCCTGGTCAATTGCTGCTGATGATGAGTTGCTGTGGCGGAGGAAGTTCCAGCTGGACTGGAAGGTTGACCCGAGTGTTCCCATTGTAAAGGGTGCCCTATGGAAATCGGAATATCGTCGCCTGTACTATGAAGCACCTCTAGTTGAATCTGAAGTACTGCTTGACCACAGTCATCAGGTCCTGCATGTAAGCTTCGCACACGATGGCACTTCTTTTGCCAGTTGCTCTAAAGATGGCCATGTGAAGCTCTGGAGTGCCTCATATCCAGCTTCAGTCATTCATTCGAGGAATATGCGTGACCTGAGCTGGAACTATACGCAGTTCTCGCAGTTCAATGAATCTGACACACTGCTGCTTGTGTCTGGCGTACACTTTGGAACTCATACAGCTTCTGGGGAGATTGCAGTTTTCAATCTGAAAGAAGGCTTTGTCCTGCAATGCAGAGTTCTCAACAAGCCCTATGATATCTTTGGCACGTGGTACACTGACCATTACCTCCTCTCTGGGAGGTTGTTTTTTCTTGGTCATATGATATCCTGCTCAGCCATCTGGTTGAATAAGGCGTGGCAGGAGAGCGAGTCGGAAAAGGAGCCCATTGTCAAACCGATGTTCAAGTTTTTCAATATTAACGCCAGCTCAGTGCGCACTATTCTAGTTGCCAACTGTGAGCAGCCAAGCAGTAGTGGTAATTCAGTGCCTGTAGTGCCTGACCCATGTTCATCCCAAGATGATGACGACACAGATGAAGACAGTGCTGATCTTGATAGCCCCCTGGACCCTCGTGAGAAATTGCTCATTTTCACCACTGGTACTTTGACCTACGCACCACATCAAGTGGGCTTCAAGCGCATCGAGCCTTTCCCGTTTGCTAATCCTGAAGAACCGCCGACGTTGCTACAGCGCATTGCCCAGCGGGAGGAAGAAAGGCGCTATCCACCGGATCCGTACGGACAGTATTTTGATGACATTGATCATCTTGTGGATTTACACGGTCACATTATTGGCATGGGGCTTTCACCTGACCACCGATTTCTGTATGTAAACAGCAGGCCTTGGCCTAAAGGCTATGTTATCGAGGAGCCACTTGCACCACCTCCGATTGCACAAGAAATTGACATCCATGTCATAGACCTGACCACCATGAAAGAAGTTGGCAAGTTGTTCCGTTCCCATCGTGCATACACTCCTAACGACGAGTGCTTTTTCATCTTCCTTGATGTGAGTGACCAGTATGTGGCTAGTGGTGCCGAAGATAAGAAGGGCTACTTGTGGGACCGCCACTACTCTGCCTGCTTGGCCACGCTTCCCCACAGCGATGTCGTGAATGCTGTGGCTTTTAATCCCAAGGATCCCCAGATGCTAGTGACTGCAAGTGACGATTTCTCACTCAAAGTGTGGAGGTCACGAGCAAAAGTTCGGGAACTTCAGCTGCCTCCTGGAGACTACCACATGGAGCAAGCAGAGCCAAGCAAGTTCTTTGACCGAGCTGGGCCTAGTGGTTCATCAAAGGGGTGCGACACTGCTTGAAAAATAAATGTTGTGTGTTGGAATTCACAACTTGATTTAATGTATTTTTTTAATGCAAAGCATTTCTTTGCATACTGCAGACACTACTTATTAATCTAGCCGGCTACGTCTGAGTGTTCTTGTAATCACCCCTTTGACTTGGGGTATACCAAATTTACATTAGAGGGTAAGAGGATTTGACGAAAATGTCTGGCTGTTCACGAAATGAATGTGAAAATTCTGTTTTGTTCATTGCCGAACCCTTAGAGCATAGCCGTATACCATAGGCCACTGTTTAAGAGTATGCGCCACAGGTGATCGACAGTTTATAGCCAGGTGGTGAAAATGGACATTGGTAGTGTAAATCCGAGAGTGTTGAGAAAAACTGGCGTTAACGCCGACCCAAAAAATATGTTATGGTCCCAGCAGGAATCACACACAAGCATTCTGTGTGGGAATCGAGTATTCCACAGAGCCACTTCAGGTCTCTGAACTCCTTTGAAAAAAGGTCCTATACTGGTGTAATTTTGGTGGAACATCAATTGTGGTTGTAGAGCTGCAAATATAATTTTATAAAGATTACACATGTACTCCAATGATACAGACCTCCCACTGTGTTAGTGTCAATTGTACTCGAGCAGCATCCACTGAAGTTGGTCTACATAGCACTATCCAGGGCTACCATTCTCGCAAGCACTACATTTCAGCTTGTCGCCTCTGGTGTTCGCAATACCCTTGTTGCTCTTGGCATCTTTATGCAACTGTACACAACTAGTTATATAAAACATAGGCGACTGTTCAACTTGCATGCCAGTGCATATGGTATTTGTACATATGTTTAGCATATTTTGTAATGTCTAGTTCAAAAAAATTTCACCAGTCTCCTTCCCTCTGCATGCTTCACATGGGGTCAATTCCCATGTTATTTGGGATCCATAGGCATGTGCACAGGGAAGGAGAGGCAGGCACCTCCTAATCAACCAATAGGGGGTGCAAAGTTAGCCCTACATATTGGAATAATAGGGAGCGGGGTTGCTGCGATTAACATCCCCCCCCCCCCCCCCTGAAGGGGAACCCTGCACACACCTATGGTGGGCTCTGCCAAATTCGAAGATCGTGTTAACAGTTATTTATGCTAAAATAGTCAACGTAAATATTGTCCTGTAGTGTCTTAGCTGTCAGATAAGTTTCTACTAGTTACTCATGTAACGGAGCAAGTACAGACTATGCAAAAACACCCCAGCACTTTAATATAAGCATCACTCTTTCGCCTGTTTACTGGTTACTAAGACTGACAAGTACTTTTCTCTAGAAAAGTGACCTTTAAATAATGCAAGAAAGGAATGAGAATCAATGATGTGAATAGTTTACAGTGCTTAAAATTTAAATGAAATGGCCAGATAATATGGCAGCCAGCATGTTTTCGTTCCACCAGTGAGTGATTACTTGGGTTGCAAATAATGTTACCGTGAGGAACCAAGGTTCTTGCTCTCAATGAATGCCAAAATGAGCTAGCTGTTTTCCTAGCACTTGACATGGGTGCACTAGACATAATGCAGGCCAGTTTTGACGCTTTAATTTCCAAGCAGTGTACTTGCTTTTTCCGCTGCCGCACTGTAAAATGTAACGGGCAGTAGTAGTATAGCTAGAGATTCTTTCTTTGGGGGTGGGGTGGGAGGGGTTCGAATTATTCTCATTCCCTGGCAATGCCATTTGTAACAGAACCTATACAATATCAAACATTCTGTTGGCTAATGCCCTCATTAAAAGGACATACTGAATGTAAACTCTCTCTCATCGGCTGTCCTTTCTTTTGTATTGCCTTTAAATTATATTTTGAGTAAGTTGGCCGACTAACTACATCAGGGTACTGCTGTTAACCAGCTACACATCCGTACACTGAAAACATGGGCGAGTGGGAGGTACTGAATTTGGCATTCATAATTGCAAAAGACCTGCATATATTGCAGCCTTGAGTTCAGGGCAACTAGTCGCAGTGGCTTAATGACTAGGCATGAGGTTGTGGGTTTGATTGGCGGCTGCAGTGGCTACATATCTATTACATTGTAAAAAATATTTTATAATCCATCTCATATTGACATAACCCCCCTCCTTTCATCTTTTTAGAGCATAAGCTTTTATGAGCTCACAACCAACTATTTTATTGGCGATGTCCGTCACAGCTGTTGCAACCAGAGAGAAATTTATTTTGACGGAAGCCGGAATTAAACCAAGGCATTCTGCCTAGCAGACAAGTATTGTACCTCAAAGTCCTGTCAGTGCTTGAAGCTTAATCAGATAACGAGCCTGTACAGTCATCATGTATGGCAAGGAATCACTTTAATATAATACGGCGTGGCTGGAGAGTTGAATTGCACCAGGTTTCACGAGTGAATTTGCACGAGTGGGTGGTTCAAAGCTCCCCACCAATCGCAAGGGGCTGAGCCACAATTCTTCATTAGTGTCATCATCATCTGCCTCATTAATGACAAATTATGTATCTGCTTGGGTGCATGTATTACCTAACAAACATTCAGTCGGTACTTACAACTGTACTTATAGTATGTTATTCCTTAAGTGAATTGAAATCTGGCTCTATGAAGGCCTCCAGTTAATGCAGTGACTGTGCTAGGTGTTCATAACAGTCCTGTCGTTTTATGCTTTTATCTTGCCGGGAAGCTATCATGATACTAAAGCTTCTTAAAATGTGGATGGCTTATTGATTTATCTATAGCAGTATAATGGTTTTAGAAACTGACTATAATTAAATTTTGTTTTCTTTTGTGAAAACTACAGTACGACTGTATGGCACACCAGAAAATAAAAGTTTCTGCATTTTGTTGCCACGAGGACTTAACCAGTAACCGCAAGCTCAATAGCGTAACACTACCGCGACAAGTAAAAATGAAATATGTAGACACAGCAGCTATAGAACAAGTTTCCGCATGCATGAGGTTGCAGCAATGTCGGACTGCCTTCATTTTGCCAAATAGTACTATTCTCATAACATTATTATTACAAAAGCTCCTCCAGCAGAATGCACGGAATCCTCTCTGGACAGCCAACTATATTCTGTATCGAGCATACAAGTTTTGGGCATCCTAAGGATACGGGGCACTGCAATTCTGACATAGATGGCTTGCACTGGCATCACTAAAACAGCCATGCCGGAGCACCAACATGGTGGGATGTGGTCATAGTAGTGTCATCAGTATGTCACGTGCAGGTTCTTTCATTCTTCATGCTCAGCCACTTAATATAACATTCCAGCAATGTATATCACGCTGAAGCTAGTTAAATACCTCGTGATACTGCCTTGACATCATCTAATCCACCATTGTTGGAGCTATGTTATGCATCCATGACGTCACACTCGAGCCACCTATACTAGAAGTATGACTTTCTTGTTACGAATATTTGTTACTTGGGTGGAGTAAACACTAAGTATTTAGAAGGAGGAAAGTATAATTTCATTGCCCACGCCCAATTTTAAAGCTTTCAGAATGCAAAAAAACATTAGCGTTTGTAGAAATATCAGCAGCCTTGGGAGCATTACATCCCCTAGGGACACTTGAAAAATATATGAATATATCTCAGCGGGCATCTACACGCTCCACAGCCACCTTGATTATCCACAACAAAAGCAACGAGATTGAGATAAGGTGGTCTGACAAGAAGGTAAAATCTCTGCAACGTTCATTCATGTGGAGGTATGACTGAATTGGCAAGAAATATGAATGAAGCTTGACCAAGAATATCTTGACAACCTACGATTTGCTGATGGCTACTCTTCTGCAGCGATAGCGATAAATTACAAAGAATAACTGAACATCTAAACTGAAGTGTCATAGTACGGCTAAATATAAGTGCACTGAAGTTCAAGATAATGTGCTGTAACCTGGCACTAAGGCAGGCATCAACCTCTGTAGGCTACACCAGAGAATCCCTACCATAGTCATTTAGTAACAGAGGAGCCTACTTGTGAAAAGGAAATTCATGGAACAAAAAGGATGGGATGGTTCACATACAGTAAGCATTCCCAACTCATGCTAGGCAAGTTGCTGGTGTCCCTAAAGCAAAAAGTGCACAATCATTGCATATTAGCAGTTCTCACATGAAGGGGACAAACTTGAAGGATACAAAGAAACTAGAGAAAAAGTTAGGGAACATGTAGCATATGAAATAGAGTGGATAATGACAGGCATAATTAAAGAAAAGTGTAAATTGAAGTCATTTTTCTTTGTTAGACACAACATTAATGAAAATTAAGAGACAATGATGCCAAGAAAAGTGTAGGGATGTTATTAGGAGTATTAGAAGTGAATAAGGAAAAGTGAAGGAAAAGATAACTTGCTGCCGGCAGGGACCAAACCTACGGCATAAGTAAAAGGATCAGGAGACCATAGAATGTGTCAAAAAATGAACGAGTAGTAGCCTATATTCTAGCCAAGAATCAGTGAAAGTAACACGTCAGGGCTAGTCACATAAAGTGTAGATATTATGGCAAGTTAGAGCAATGGAATGAATACCAAGAGAAGGAAAGTACAGCCAAGGACACCAGTGATTTAGATGAAGTGATGAAATTCAGAAGCTTGCAAGGATAAAATTGAATCGGCTTGCACAAGGTAAGGTAACTTTGATCATTGGAAGAGGCCTTCGTCCTGCACTGGAGATAAACAAGGCGACAGAAAATAATGACTATGCAAGTACCTCTATATACCACCCACTATCGACACAGTTGCGAGGGGGTGATCTGCCTCCATGCAACTCTGGGTATATAATTCCTTGCAACCATTGAGCCAGAAAGTGGGAGGGGGGGGGGGGGGGAGTCGATTCACATCCTTCTTTTAGCTGAGTGGAAGTTAGGGGTGCAGGTTATATGCAAGAAAATACGATACATGATGCAGCAGGCTAAAACAGTGGTGCAGCAGTATACATGTAGTACAACATTGGCATTGTACTTAAGTGCTCATGGTTTGAAATGTAACACCAAATTTTTTTTTGTTAAAGGGGTATTGACACCTTTTTCAGAGGAGAGTTTACTCTGCTATACAAGTCCCTAGTATACAGAGACTGCTCTGAGCAAGTGCGACACTTACCAATTGCGGATAACATACTTTTTAGTTTGATATTAAAGTGAATTCTCTTGCGCCGCATTTACTTACATCGACACAGGCTACAGTACTAATCCTGGCGACTTCACGCGGCACTCTGGCTATTTGTGATGATGTCAAGCACCAAAACACAAAATATGGCAGCTTGTGTATCGCTTTCTCGATCGTCTGCTCGCACCGTGTGGCTGCCGACCGGCTCCGCATTGTTGTGGCCCTCAGCCGCAACAGTTGCCACACGTGTGGCACACAGCAAAAAAAGCAGACAACCGAAGAAGTGACGCGCAAACGAGGATACGCCACAAAAACTTGCATGCGCACATACGATTGCCTGGTGGTGCTGCTCATTCCACGTCGCGACGTCAGCGTACAGTAGGAACCGAAACTAGCTTCTAACAGCATGCTGTAATTAATTTTTTAGGGCACACTCATGGTTACTGGTACATTTCCTACGCTCTCAGCGGTGTGACCTATAATTTGGCACAAAAAAAAAAAGATAAGTGAGAAATTTCAGGTCAGTACCTCTTTAAGACTGCTATATGCAATTGCTCATGATAACCACATTATGTCACTACAAATGTAGCACTAAAGGTGATGTTGGCTTTATTTTAAAGGTTCCAGTCGAAATCATACTAGCATAGCACAAACTGGAGGTGGTGGCAACGAAAGTACATGCATTATGTGAATTGATCGCATGTTCCAATCCATGTGTGCTGCAAAATAGCATGCAATTGAGCACATAGTAAGCCTACTGTATGTTGCTGTCACAACTTGATAAGAGTGATTAGTGGCCAAAGTGTCGTGCTGCCAAGCTTGAGGTGATGGGTTCAATTCTAGGCCATGGTGGTCACAGGAGACAAAATGCAAAAAACATTCGGGTACATCCATATCGGTGGACGTAAAACAAGTGATAAGAGCCAGGTCAAAAGTAGTGCATGTTTCACATAATGACATTGTAGTTCTGGCATGTAGAACCTCGGAATGAAACTTTTTATGCTGGCTAAATGGCATTCTTATAATGGCAGCATAGTATAAAGGACAAAGTGATACTCTAGTTTCTCCCGAGCACCTCGTGTAAGCAATTAGCACAAGAGTTTGCAGTTACTTTATTCATATTGCAGGTCACTTTGTTACACCAATTTGCCACACCAGCTTTTTCATTGGCTGGCCTATCAAGATTCTTATTGATGACCACCCATGGAATCTTGCAGCTGTATTTTGGAAAATCACGAGATATACACTTATTCATGGCATCTTGATGCTGGCTTTGGGGGCCATGACACGGTCACCCAACAACAGCGAAAAATAGCAGTAGAGCCTTCATTGTGCCTACACATATATAAAAAATCGGCTGTAATAGAAAAATGTTTCATTGCTAATTAACACTAGAAGTCGCCAGCTACCTATAAACCCTGTCCCCCGCTAGCAACTGCCATCTTGCCATGCCATGTTTTACATCACTTGTGGAGCAAGTCTGTAGTCACCTACAACAGTTCAACTACTGTAAATCAATGTCAAGTTGAAATAGCCCGTTTTGCACATGTAGCTGACTACATGCAAAATCGTTTGCCGGAACGCAGACACTTGCACAGCAAGCAGCTTGTTACATCATGGCTAACGAGTGCACCAGTGTTGCCCTACTCATTAATGCCACTTTCATGTTTATAAAAATTTTCAATTATGAATTAGTTGCTTGACTAAATGCACTAAATGTTTGCCAGCTTGTTTGTAAACACACAAGAATTACCCTAAATAAGTATTATCGAAAATTGGGCATCACAACTCCTTTAACAGGGCCATCCATGCCTATGACATGAATAAAGGTATTGGGAAATTAAAACAGTAGAAAACAAGGCCTCTAAGCCTCTAACCTCATTTCCAGTTTACAGTGTACACAGTGTACAGCATTGACCATATTCAGAAAAAAACATCTAACAAACAGTTCATTGCACCTAATTTCTAGTGTATCAATAGGATGAACATGTGGATTACTATGGCATGAATTGGGGAAAAAAGAATGAAGTTCATTACTTCTAGTAATCATGAATAGATGTCCCCAAGTTTGAAGGAGCCTACACATGGTTCACCGAGAATCAGACTTGCATGCACTCAATTTTCATTAACCACTGAAGTATACAAAAGAGAAAAGTGCAATGTTTAAAATGTGTAAACGACACCAATTCACGCACAAGTCTGTTTAAAAGCAATAGTTCTTGGCAGCATTGGCACAGTGCCAGAATGATGTAGCTTGCGGATGCAGCCTATATCTAGCCCAAGTGATAGCGAACATTCTATGGCATAGCATTTGCTATGGCATAGCAGTTTGCGCTGCACTTCGTAAGTACAGCCTTATTCTACATCAACATTCTAAACTTGTGCACACATGCATCAGTTGCACATCACACCATAGGCTTTGCACTAGTGCAGTCTAGCTAGAGATTGCCAACATGAAAGGATAATTTTTACTCCCACCTAACCATTTCTAGAGGTCTTTTTAACAGATGCAAAGACGACCTATACATAAATCAATCAGTCGTGCATCAGCAAATCTGGGTACTTTATGAGAAACAATGTGGTGCTGGCCTGTGCAGGAGCCGTTTCAGCTTGGATCTGCCAGTTTTTGCAGTATTCTACAGTAGACAGAAGGTTAGGTGGGCAGATGAGATTAAAGAAGTTTGCGGGTATAAATTGGCAGCAGCAAGCACAGGACTGAGTCAACTGGCGGAACATGGGAGAGGCCTTTGTCCTGCAGTGGACGTAGTCAGGCTGATGATGATGAAGCATTCTTAAACAGCAACACTGTACAGAGCTATTCTGCACAGGTCTGAACTAAAGCAGTAGCTCAGTATAAGCCTCCAATACACCAAAGCTACTCAAAACAGAATTAGTCTATTAATAAAAGAAGGCATTTAAGCACAGTCTTGCTCCAAATAGAATTATGAAAGAAACCATAAATTAATCCACAAAGACCCATAAATTCATCCACAAACTTTAATCTGTGTTGTCTCATTTTTACAAATTTCCACATCAAAGGGGAAACAGGAAGGGAAGGAAGGTAAAGTAAAAAGGCATTACAAAAACTGCCATAAAAAAGTATAAAGCTGCGGGCATGTACAATAATGCGACCATGCACACATTGACAGTTGAAAAAATTGAATTAAAAGGGACATACAAAGAATGTTGATCAGGCTGAAAATTTGTTCACACAAATGGTCGAGCAAAAACGCCATAAAAACTTTTGCTGTAAACACTCACATGAGATCTACAGTATGCTATATATGAATACAATAACAGCATGTATGCAAAAAGATGGCAAGACAACCGTCAAAAATTTCCTTGAGCAATTCCGCATCTAAACAGATCTACCAGCGCAAAAAAAGACAAGTTGTAGAGAAGAAACACACACACAGCACTGCATGCGTTTCTTCTCTAAAAGTTCTTTCCGTTGCGCTGATAGATCTGTCTAAATAATCATGAACAACTCGCCCAAGCAGCAGTTTTAGCGAAGTCGGCATCTAGACCTCAAGGTGAACTCAAGTAGCAGGAACAAAAACAGATCTCTACAACAGAAACGAGCATATAGTTACATGTGTACACAGAATTTAAAAACAAAAGGATGTACGACAGATGAAAAATACACCAAGAGCAAATTTACAACTTTGATATAATATAATATGCATTGCTTTGAGTATGTAGTGGATCATGAGTATAAGATGTCTTCAGCTCCTCGATCTGACCAGCCCTCCAAACAAAAACGCATGAAAGTTGGCCACCCATGCACAAAAAAAAAGAGGAACAAAAAATTTCAAATGCACTGCTGCCCCTTTCCCTCATGACTTGCTCGTAAAAGCTCTTAATGCCCTGTGCAACGAGCTCCCTGTATAATACTTTCTAGCTCTGTGCACATTGCTAAAAACCACACACTGCATCAACTCCACGGGATTTCCCTTCGCCTCCAAACTCCCCCCAAAAAACGAAGAACTGCTCTCCATTAAAGAAGCATGAAAATGCGAGATCCCTTATGCTTCGCTGCACAATGAGATGAAAACGACCCTTCTTGAGGTCTCGTTAAGAACGAAACTATTACCCCCCCACCTCCCAAACCCTTGGAACGGAAAAATGACTAAAGCCTTTCTCCAGTGCCGAAACTGCTCACTCCTTGACCTCTGTGATGGTCTTAGTAACAACCTCCTCGACAACTTCCTTTTTGATAACCTCTTCCTTCTTGACCTCGTCAACAGTAGCTTCAGGTTTTTTGACAGCATCCTCGGCAGGAGGAGTCTTCTCGTCAGCAGCTGGGGCAGACTCGTCGGCAGCCTTTTTGGGCTCCTCCTCTGGTGCCTTTTTGGGCAGATGCGTGTTGAGCTCCAGGGTCTTGCAGATCTCGTCCCAGTCAGCCCAATAGCGCTCCTTCATGCGCTCCACGAATGCTAGCAGATTAGCACATTCCTGCTCCATGAACTCCAGGAGACCACCGAAGGGCACGTACACAAACTGGCAGAGGTGGGCAAAGGCCACACAGTCGAGCTGCGCAGAAGACAAGATTGTGAGCACAGTACTGCAGCAACGACTTCAGATTTGTTTACGTTAGTCCCAACACTGCAGAAGCTGCACTTACTTTCCACAAGGGCTTGTAGTCAAAAAGCTAGAATTAAGGAGGCTACCTCCAAAGCATGCTCAGTCAACTGGTCATGTTCAGTTCAAGCAGGTATTAACTTCTCTGCCCACAGATGAAGTACTTCCCGATTGTTCCAGTTATACGTTGACACTATTAAAGTGCACAGTACCAATTCATAAAGAAGTTTTGTTTTCCCCACCATTAGCGCCAAAGTTCAAAAGCACTGCCCCCCCCCCCCCCCCCCCCCCCCCCCAAACACACAACAAAGCAATTTCACAAGGACACCTGTTTACACATTCATGCATATACAGTCTACTCGCATTAACTCGAAGGGACCTCCGAATGTTGTTTGAATTATCAAGAAGTTCGAATGATCAGAAGTTCTCATATACTACCTCTGGGCAAAGTGATGCATTGACTGTGTCACATTTAAATTGTTTAAAGGTGTTTTTACACCCTAACTGCACCAAATGAACAGAAATATTAAAGGTGCAAGAGTTTATTAGCCATTTATTACTGATCAGACCTTTTACAGAAATGAATTGCCTACTACTTTGCTATGTGTACCTTCAGCACAAAGCTCTCTATACCAGTTGAGAAGCATCATAATTTACCATGCATGTGCTTCACTTATAGCATTTGTTTAGTGGCAAAGTAGTTTTCCTTGAAGGCCTGAGGGGCTCATATTTTTTATTTTTAGGCTATTAGGATTATACCAGCGCACAAATATTTAAATAGTAGAAGGAAACCCACAGACAATTTCCGGTATAGAACCAGAAAAAATGTGAATTAACCAATTGACAGAGTTTGAATGAAAAGGCTTTTAAAATACATCGAAAAAACAGAAGGCCAATCAAAAAATGGAATTCTGTTTGAATTAACCGAGTATGAATGATCAGAGTTTAGTTGATATGTGGGGCTTAACGTCCCAAAACCACCATATGATTATGAGAGACACCGTAGTGGAGGGCTCTGAAATTTTCACCACCTTGGGTTCTTCAACGAGCGCCCAAATCTGAATGATCAGTTTGAATTATCGAGAGCCTACTGTATGCTTAATGTGCAGCTAAAATTTTAACTAGAATGCCAAACCGAGAAAGTTGATGCTGTCAGTGTAAAAAAAAAAAATTGCACATGCTGCTGCATCGAAATATGTAGAAAAGCAACATCTTTGCAAAGTTGCCACTACAAGTGACACCTTGTCGAGAACTAGGCTAGCCAACTACAAGCCCATGGCTAAAGCAGTTTCTTTTAGCCGTTGGGAGATTCCCTTTGTTCGAGGACACTTTAAAGCCAGAAAATTGGAAAAGTAGGCTATTAATGGGAAAAGGAACACACGGAAAAGAGCCAAGGCTGAAATTTTACCTTAGCAAGGCATTTTGCATGTTTTACAATTACATGCCTCCTGTAATGTTACAAGTTCCTATTAAATTGTGTTCACTCAAGTCAGATACAACAAAAGCTTTAGTAGAACATTCCAAAGTGCAGGATCAACTGACGATTGCCTTTGTTCAGTGCAACAAAGACATCTGCCTTATTTCAGGCAAAATTTTAAATTTACATATAAGCATAGGCAGAACAACTTCACGTCTTACCAAGTGAGGCTCTGTGCCAAAGAAGAACTGTTTGGTGCCCAAATACTGTGACAGGTGTTTAAGATCTTCCTTCCCAAATTCCAAGATCTCCTCTGTTGTGTGACGGCCCAGGCCATGGCCAATGGTCTGCTGCACATTCTGCACACAACAAATAAGATAAATGAAAAAAAAAATTGAAAAGACTGCAATAGGCCAACAAGTTCTACTGGACAGATATATTCACACCTAAATGTATCCCAAGGATGTGCAAGCGTTATGAAACTGCAACAAAATAAACATGTAAAACTTGAAATAATTTTTAATTTTAGAAAGGTGCACATACACGTAATAAAGCTGCTCATCTACCCTTATCAAAATAACGTATTTCTAGGGGCCATCACTAAGTAGTGGCAACCTGATGTGGTTGCATCAGTCATGCTAAAGCATGAGCACTAATCCATATTGCAAAGGGACATAATGATAAGGAGGACTAGGCCAAGCTGGTGGCAAGGCCAGGTACTTGCATTTTCCATTTGAAAGGCACAGGACTAATGAACTAACTTTAAAGAATATTAACAGCAGTAGTCTCCAAATTTAACCAGTATGATGGTAACCAAAAAGACAACCATAAATGCTATGAAAATATGCGCTGGCAGGCATGAAGCTAGCAATTTAGTGGGATAATGTACAGTACAATCAACTGTTAGGGGGAACACACGAGTGTGTGGCCGGTGGTTCGCGGGGCGCCAACTGATGGCGAGATTTGGAAACGCGGAGCATGCGAGCTGAATTGCAAGGGCGGTACTTGCCCGCATCGTCCGCTACTTCCCCGCCCTACGTTCGGCGCGCGCCAACGACAAGATCGCCGTGCTCGCTTCATCGACGATCGATTTCCATGTTTGTTATCAAAAGCGGCTGGCTGGTTCGAACAGCGTTTGGAAAGCTTCCAATTTGCTTAAGCTTGCGTTTGGAAAGCAAAAACACCGGGCTACGCGAGTGATGGGTTGCGTTATCATTTTCACAGAGTTCCACAGCTGGGGGCGTATTTACTCGTTGATCGCATCTTCGGCAGAGCTAGTTTTTAGAAGCGGCATAGCTAGAGTACCCGAGGACGAAAGGCTTCGAATAGTCGAGCTGTACACCAAAGAATAGAGCCAGCATGCTGTCACTTCTATCGCGAAAAGGCCACTTTCTCGTCGCCAGCGCAATCATCAGCATTACGAAAAAATTTTCAGTGCCTATTTCTGTAATTCGTAGTCCTATTTTGCTTACACAGATCTGCATTTTATTTTGTGTTTCGAGGCTGCAGATCTGGCCTCACACGACCCGTCTGTCACAAAGGTTTTAAAATTTGTTTACTCCGTAGTGTTCTACGTACGTAGTCTTTCAGCACGCGTATTGGTGAAACGTAACGATTCTCGGAAAAGTGAATGCTATCGCATATTTCAAATAAGGAGCTTCTAGCGTTTTCGCTTCAATGAAGAAAACGAAATGTATCGCAAGTTATAACATTTGCTGGATACTGCAATCCACAATAATTATATAATTTTGTGTCTCGCTGTATGGAATACATAAAAGTATTTTCAAACACGCGTTTAACGTTTTTTGAAATACTATATGCACATGGCTTTTTTTTTTTCATATCGCATGAATTCTGAAACTGGATGCTGTGACCATGAATGGAATCGCAACAAAGCTGCCAAGAAAGCACAACAAACAAACGGCCCCCTTTTTTTTCTGCACGCCGATTAGCCGGGGAGGAGCAGCGAAAGTGGTAGGGACATGAATCGCATCGCGGAAAAGCGAACGCGGTATCCAGCGCACTGCAAGTGCCGGAGCGGAAAGTAGCACACGAAACGCGGCAAGCCCCACCCATTCGCGTCTATGCGCATGCGCTGTGTTTGTAAATCTCGCCACCAGTTTGCGCCACGCTGGCCGCCAGCCACGCGTTGCCGTGTTCCCTCCAAGAGTGGACCATACTGTACATTCAAACAATTTCGCGAAATCAAGAGTTGAATGAAAGCTTCTGGTCAGGAATGCTCATAGTCAAAGAAAAAAGGTAGACACTGACCGAATACAAAAATAACTAAAATAAGGCTGTGTCAGCTCTCTTATAGGGGCCACAACTGGGCTAGTGCAATGTCCTTGCTACTGAAAAAAAGTAACCTCACGACTTCATCTGAAGTCATTATTAATCCAAACTACCGACTACATGCTGAAACACAATGATGGCATCCTTCCTTTTGTTTGTGAGAGCTGCTTGCGCCATCTATTTGCGCATACTTTTGTCCCCTTTTTTCAGTGAACAAAGCCCCTGTACGAGAGCTAAAATGTTTTTTTTTACCCCTTGTGTATGTGGCGAGAGCTTTCTTTCATTTACCTTTGACCACGAACAATCGCACGTTTGCCACACTGCATAGCAGCGAAAGAAAGGTTTCACCGGAGCTACTGTCTTTCCATTCATAGTTTTACAATTTCGAATAGACCTTATGATCTACCGGGAATTTATTTAAGCAAGCATTGCTGCTCTGAAAAAAAGTAAGACGAGACACTGCATAAGGGATGCAACAAACTTTTCAGCAAAGAATCAAAAGGACACCTTGTGATGTTCTTCATCTGCATGTCTTGTCTCTGAACAAGATAGCAGGGAAACAAAAAATGGTCATCAGTTTTACACCACACAAAAAAAAAAAACGAATTTTCCACCATATGCAAAAGCAGGAATGATAAACACACGAAGCTACACATGCAAACAAAAAGATTTGTCTTGCAAAATATTATGAGATCTCCCTTCCTTGTGGCTATTGCTACATCAGCCACACTGGCTGTTGTGTCAACGGTCACCTTACAAAACTAGAGTCCAATTAAGGGTACTTTAGACAGCCACCCAGCAGTGCACTGCTTCCGAGGTTGCACGATAAATATACAAAAGTGTGCGCATCGAGGAAATAAAGAAATTTAACTCGTTTCCAAAGAAATCATTACAGGTTGGTGATGAAATTCATTTAATGGCTCTTGATCAGATTCCCGTGCAGGATAAACAAAAAACAGTACTAGAGGTCTTGCTCATGTATCTAGCCACATGTATCTGACCACACGGGCCTACAGCATTTATGCCTCAATCGAAAATGCAGCCGGGATTCAATCCCACGGCCCGGGGGTCAGCAGCAGGGTACCTTAGCCACTAGACCACCGCGACGGGGCACAATGTGCAGGTGATGCCACTTAGAGCGAGATATCTTGGAAGCACTTTCTGACCAGAACAGCACAAGAATATTGCACTGAAAGTACCAAACTTACGCTTTTAAAAGCAAGCTTGAAAAAGAACTGCAGGACGCCTTTAGGCAACTTTGAGTTGAGCATGCGCTTGACATCCATCTGGGCTGCCTTCAGAAACTGGCCAGGGTGACGATAACGCCAGCAGCGAGACACCCAGCCTGTGTGGTTATTGAGCATAGATGAGAAGGCGTGAGAGATGTTGCGCTCCTCTGTGGTTAGGCCGGCATCCAGATCTTTGCCAAAAAACTGGCTCAGTTGCTTGATGATGATGTCAGAATCTGCTATCTCCTCGCCGTTGAGCTCCACAAACGGGAGTTGACCTTTCTTCGATTTAAACTTGAGCTTGTGGTCCACATTCTGTAAAAGTGCAAGGTGGCATTCAGTAATGAAAAGAAGCAACATGCCACCGAGCTGCTCCTCGACGTGGAAGAATTTCAGCGGGCATGGTGAAAAGTGCACAGGACCGCTAGGTGTACAACAGTAGACCCAGTGGCCCTTGGCAACTGATCTGCAGAGGGCACCCCTGATGGTCTGTTCAGGTTTACCCTATGCACAAGTAAAGTGGCTAACAAAAAAAAGAGAGGAGAAAGATGGGCAGTCCTGCACCTTATTTTCACTTTTTTCTTGCATATAGCTTTGAAGGCTTACATAACGCAGCATTACGCGTTAACTTCCGTCAAGGACTATACTATCGAAGAAAACTTTTTTTTCCGTAATTATTTTACCATTCTTAATCCAAGTGCTACAAAGCCCCTGCGTATTAGAAAAGTGACTAACAAAAAAAACACTGCACTATATATAATGTGTAAAGCTCTTATGAATGACGCGGGACGAGGTTAATCGTGTAAACATTCATATCCACGCTACTCTAAACATGAGAGGGCACGCCACGAATGAGTCATGCACCAGCAAGCCGCGGCTATTTAACATACATTAAGCACACCGCTTATAAGAATACGGTTCAGCTTGTCGAACTTGTCTCCGTGAAGAGGCAGAGCAACGCATGGTGTGCAGAACACCAAATCGCGGTTGATAAACCACATTTAAGTGAATCAATCGGATCTACAGCAGTGTCAGAAGGAATATACAGTAAGCATACAGGTTCTTCCAAGCAAACTAGCTAACGTTCGCAGAGTTCTAATCTAGTCGGAGTAACCAAACGTACTTTCTAATATCTGCGGTTAATTCGGAGCTGGTCAGATTTTTTTTTTTTTTTCATCGACCGACTTCGGCGTACGGATTGACCGGCAAAGGCGGGGCAGTACGCCGAACACCCCGCGGTCCGAACTTGCCCACATGCGTTATGTTTTCACTTAGATCGATTGAATCGCCGTTTTACTGAGTAACAATGAAAAAGAAAGATCAAAGTGCAGCGTTCGGCGAGCGTGAAAGCGGTCACCGAACGCTATTCCCAGTCACGCATCGGCCATGACAACACGCACTGACAGCTCCTAAGCCTAACACCGCGTCACACCAAGCCGGCCGACGCAATCCCAGCAGTGGGCAAATTTGAAACGAACGGCGCGCTGCGAAGACGAGCTCACCTCATACTTCACTTGTGTCATGCGCAGCCAAGTCTCAACTTTCAAACAGAAAGGCGAGATTCCGGGCAAAGTTGGACAGCGAGTGAACTGGTAGAGATAGACTACATCTTTATCGTAATCCGTCTTGTGAACGCTGGGCTTGTTTGCCGGCGCCGAAGCGGCGGTCGTGGTGGCGTCGGACGTCGGGCTGGCGGCTGTCTCCTGTGTGACTGGAGTTTCTGCCGGCTTTTCGGCCTTCGCCGGGGGTGCGGTACCTGCAGAGTTCTCGGTCTCGCTAGGGCTCGTCATGGCTGGAAGAACTCCGCGGCAGGGAAACAGCGACGACGGGAGACCGGCGCAAAATGGCGCAGAGCAGCAACCCAAGCTTCACGTACTGCCTGACAGGCGGTCGATGATTGGCCAACGCCTGGGCAGCCTGGGAGGGGGCGCTTTATACGCGGCTCGGCGCATGACGTCATGCGGTCTGCGATGGATGAGTTCGATAGCGGACGTGACGTTCTCATTGCTGCCCTCTCTGACAGCTCTCCTCGGATAGTGTGTTCCGCTGGAACCGGCGACGCGTTATCCAAAGCGCGCTGATACGGGCGCGTAAGGGCGTCCCTCGCTCATGATGTCACGCTACTTCCCTTCGGAAGTACGATAAATGCTGACTCATCATCAAGTAAGCCATCACAGAGAATATTTCTTGAGCGTAATATCTGCGAAAAACTGTAGCCATGAGCAATTCATTCTGCCCGCTAAGTGCACAGATTACCCAAGTTCCAGAAAATACTAATGAAATAAGAAACAATAGCGGACGACATAAATTCCATTCCTATCTAGTGAACAGTCATAAAGCTGCGATAGGAGCTTTACAGCCAGCCTTTCTATGTAGAGCTTCATTTACGCTTAGATATGAACGTAACATTTAACCTACTAAATAACACTGGAGACGACAGGGGGCCAAACAGGCTGCATTGAACAAGGGCTTTTTATTTATTTATTTTTGTTCTTGCTACGTACACCTATGACTACCTTGGCGATGTTGCACCTTACTACCTCTTCCTCCCAATGTCTAATTTGTCTGTGACCTCAGCTGCCGCAGTGCTACACTACTCCACACTGAAGAGTGCATCAGACTTTGCACAATGTCAACTGTGGGATTTTATCAAACTCACACTGATTGACGTTTTACTCCATGACATTCGTGGACGGGCTACAATTGCGACATTGAAGTCATGCAGTAGTCAATGGCAGATATCCTGCTTTTACGAACTTCGCGCCTTAATTCACCCTTTTTCAAGAAATAAAATTAACAAAGAAATCAAGAATATGGAATGCCAAGCTTTGAGTCAGTGTTCATCACTGCCCATGCGTCATAAGCGTTCCTCTTGGCTACCACGTTATGCCTACGGAAAATCGCATAATGTACCCAACCAACGCTGTCTCTACGTAGCCTATCATAAAACTTTATATGTAGTACGATAGCCCATTACAACTGTTCAGTGCAACAACGATACATTTCGAGGGTACATTTTGAATTTCCGCATTTATCGAAACTAGAACAAAAGGAACAAGAGGCCCGGTGTCCACCCCTTGTGTACACACATGTGTGCAATGTGCTAATCGTGCTAAAATACTTGAAAGCCCCCCTAGAAATTAATTAGAACAACCAATCAAGCCAATGAAAGTATAGGGGACGTCACTTGTAGTGGTTGGGGCTTAAATGTGAAGAAATTAAAGTGGGCGAAAGGATGGCTTGCCGCCGCCAGGAACCGAACCTGTAACTTTCGACTAACGCACCCGATCTGGATTTCGTGGTCACGGTTCCCTGGTGGCTCCAAATTTTTTTCTTCCGCTTTAGTTTCGTCACATTGATGTCAAATAACACTCCCCATGTATTTTTTTTTATTTGATTGGCTGTTAATCCTCATGAATGTTGTGGCCAACAAAAAAAAAAAGAAGCCCATAAACTTCCCCTTTTTTGTTCATTGATTGATTGATTGATATGTGGGGTTCAACGTCCCAAAACCACCATATGATTATGAGAGACGCCGTAGTGGAGGGCTCCGGAAATTTCGACCACCTGGGGTTCTTTAACGGGCACCCGAATCTGAGCACACGGGCCTGCAACATTTACGCCTCCATCGGAAAGGCAGCCGCCGCAGCCGGGATTCGATCCCGCTATATGCGGGTGAGCAGCCGAGTACCTTAGCCACTAGACCACCGCGGCGGGGCTTCTTTTGCTTATTGCAAGCAAAAAAAAAAATACATTTATTCCAGCATCAACTGTTAGGCAAAATCAGAACTGGCTATGATATCCTTGCCTTACTTTCCGTTTATTTCGTTTACCTCCCTTCCCTTTCACCTACAAATGTTTTGCAACCCTAGCATCAAGACACGTTGACATCGATGCCAGGGAGAAGTTAAATACACTTCATTTTATTACCGGAAACAGACGGCGAATTAGCCAACAAATGGATACCTGCGTATGCGTTAACCCTTCTTGTACTCTGTCACGTGATATCCGCAACCCTCCCCTCCCCCGGCTGCTTGCCACTGCCGCGCGGTACGGCCATATCCTCCTTGGGTACGGCGCCCAGTGCGGCGGGATCTTCACGACACCAGGTGTCGTGATCGAGCCGAGTTCATTCGTTGATTCGCGTGCATTTGTTGAAGTCTGAATGAATTATCATTTTGCGAATAAGCGTTCTCATAAAATAACGATTTCTTCACTATCCGAGTGTTGTTTTTTTTTCTTGCTACATTTTGCTATAATTAATTAACAACGACAACACAGTGAGAGGTGACTTGTGTACGCATACTTGAGATGCTCGTATATATGGTTGGTCACTGGTTAGTGAGCGCGGGAAAGGAGAAGGGTGGGTGCTGTGGTGTGTATGTGTTCCTGCACTTTTGATAACACACTATTGCAGTTGAAGAAAGAGTGTATATATATATATATATATATATATATATATATATATATATATATATATATATATATATATATATATATATATATATATATATATATATATATATATATATATATATATATATAAGTGATCGAATGGATTAGGGAAGCTTAGCAGACGCCACTTTTTGACACAGGAACTGCACTTGTATTCGATCACCGATGCCTATACATTTCTCATACTGTGACGAGCGACTTTTGTATCCTTGCTAACGTTTATAGCACTCACGTCGATCATACCTGTTTGCTTCGCGTTCATGGTATTCGTGAGGTCGCTACTTCGGACGTTTTTTTTTTTTTTTTTTCCGATTTCGCCGGGGAGCTGCAACCCCGATAATCAGGGAGAAATGTGAACACAGACACTGGACTTTTGTCGCTCGATTTCCAGCTTCTCCTATCTTTGCGGTCAACATAGTCAAGTGTTTGGCCCCCGTTTGGAACTGTTGTAAATGAAAGAGAACAGCTGTGTGACCGAATATGGTGCGGAATTGTTCATAAGTTGACGAAAGGTGACGGGGTTCGGTGATGTACTACAGTCATGTGCGAGGGCGACAGTGGCTGAGAAGTTGAATGACGAAGTATAGTGTGAACACGCTCTTTAAACATTTACGCGAGGTCTCGGAGGATGCCCAGCCCGGCCAAATGCCACGTGACGCAGCTCCAGTGGTGGTTTAGACAGGGGTGTGCTTTACGGGGTTCAACAATTCCCCCATCCTCGATATTTTTACATTTTGTATACACGCACACATAAAAACACAGACACGAACATACATGAAAAGAGGTACGAGCTCCCTTGCCACTTTTTAAAAAAAAATGCTCGCTGCGCTTTGTTTAAGAACCCTTTGTGTATATCTATGACGTTCTTTATGCTCAGTCGCGTTGAGTCGTTTTCTGAGGCATGATACATTCAGCCCTGTCGCCGTGTGTTAATTCACAAAACAGTATAACTTCCGCAAATATGTCGTTCGTCCCTTTTCTCTCCCTTTAGTCTTCTCGCGCCATCGATCGCCACAGCCAAATGACGTAACCAGTAAATCAAATTAATGAAATGACGCCACCGAGTTATACGATGGTTGGAAGGGTGGAACACAGTCAAGAGGGTCGAACTTCTCGTGCAAGCGAGCAGGGACGCTTTTTCGAAGGGCCGCCGACTCGTTTACAGTCGGTGGCATGCCCCCCCGTGTTCAAAAGGAGCACTAATTGTCTTATCGGCGGGGCCCCACTTGGAGACGCTCGCCGTTGGGCGCGGCTCGGCGAAGCCTTCGTTTCCCGTGGCCGGCGTGCGTGACTTTTCGCCCGAATCCGCGTCACTGCGGGGAAACTCGAGGATGATCGAGCGCGCCCTCTCGCTCACTTCGACGAATGCATCGGCGCGTGGCTTGTGCCGTCGCTGGCGGCGCCTCGGAGTGGACACTGTTGCGCCTTTGGGTAGCGTGGTGCGGACTCGGGCCATCCGAGTCCCCGGAGAGGACGAGTAGAGAAGCCGGAGAAGGAAAAAAAATGTTTATATACAGTATTTACATGGTAGCGTGGTACAACATGAAAAGAGAATCACCCACGAGCGCCTCTGCGCTAGCGTTTTTATACATCGTCCGCCTTCCCAAGATCCCTTGCAAAGAAAATTTATGCGCAGGATACTCCAATGAGATCGTCGTCTTCCTCTCCGTCCCCGAAGAGGGAAAAGCCAAACACCGCCTCCCCCTGAACCTAGGAAAGGGGCAAGACATGCCCAGTTCGCTGTTTGGTGAGGGAGACCCCACGCGGCAGCGTGGCACCACAGCGAGATGACGTGGAATCCCATGCGCAAAGTCGCTCCCTGATGCAGCCAGGTTGACTCAAGCAAGGCAGAATACCCCGTACAGCTGCTGGGTCGACGCTGCTTCGGAGTGTTGCTCTCGGCGGCTGACAAAAGCTTGGCCAACGACTTTTGTGTCAAGAGGAGCCGGCGACGTGGTTTTTTCCAGATTGTCCGCGTCCGTCGCCGTCCCGGTGCAGGGTTGACTCATCAACAGCTGCCAGGTGCCAGCAGGTCGCGAAGACCACGTGGAACTTGGGCGAGGCACAACAGCACCCCCGCCGCCAGATGATACATCGGGAGGTCGAGTTGTTCCATGCAGCTCGGCCGGGTCGATGTCGGCGACGTTCCGGCAAGGCTCTTGCTTTCTCGAAGGGCCTGGTCAAACTGGAATGCTCCAAGAGCTGGCCTCTGCGCCCCGCTTCGGTGAAAAGTGGGTGACAAGCTCCAAGAAACGACCTTTGTCAGCCACACACAATGCGACAAGCACCGCGTGCACGCCACTCTCATCGCCAGGCCTCCGATTTTACAAAGCAAACATCTTATCTTAATAACTTAAGCTCAAGGAAACAATGTGCATACCAATCGGGACAAGTGTCCAGTAACTCTTTCATACGTAACTCCATTTGGAATCGAGATAAC